CCTCTTCCCCCTCCTCCTCCTCCTCCTATAATATTCCTAATGATCTTGAATCATATCCCCTCAATATTGGAACCTGTGTTTAGTTTATTTCTCTTTTGCTTCCATTGAATCTATCTCTTTACAAATTTGTTCATCAAATTCATGACTTTCTACCTTCTCCCTTTTGATCTCCTCTATCTTTCTTTCTTCTCCTTCCACTCCTTCTCCTTCTCCAATCTTTTTGTTTAATTTCTCACCTTCCTCTTTACATCACCATACATACGCTGTCTGCCAACAGCCAGCTGTTCAAGGGGCATTAACATATACTTTAAAGGTACTATGTCCCTTTTGCAGTCAACCTCAAATTCTGTAGAACTTTGCAGGAATTATGAATATGTCATGTATGTCCTATATGTGAAATTTAAACGTTATCAGTGTCCTAATATTCAAATTATGCAATGAAACCCGTTTACTTGCTAGACTTCACTGTCAGACACTAACGTCAGTATTGAGTGACTGACTGGCTTTTTTTCTTCTTTGGTAATAACATACATAAAATGAGCTGTAAAGGATTTGTCTACATCAATAACCCACTTCTTGTAATGGCCAAAATTAAACTGATTGAATCTTCGCACAGCATAAAACGTACGACCATGCGGTACAATGGTCTGAAAATCAAGACTATTACTTATTGGCCCTATAGCTCCTAAGTCGATTTGACAACTAATAGTCATTATTTTCCCACTTAAAGACATTTTCAAGCCCCCTTTTTTTAAGGGGAGTTTTAATTTAGTATTATCTTTCAAATGCCATTGGAATTTAACCTTTTCATTTTTTTGGCCTGCAAATGGGACATAGTACCTTTAACACATACTTAATACAACATAGCATCAAAAACAAAAATCTTAGATAACAACTGATATGAAACTGAAACTCTCCCTTACAAGTTTGGCACCAGTTTTTTATTGTAATATTGCGTCTTCAAATTTCGTTTTCCAGCATCTAGCAAACTATTACCTCGATAACTATGAATACAATTTTTTTCATAAACATAGTGATTCTTGAAAAAGGATTGAATGATTTCAAGGCCTCAGTGTTCTTTTTCTCTGCCTAATAAATGTCTGTACATTGTAGGCAGCATGCCAAACCACACTGCACAGAAAACAAGTAGGACAGGAAGATGAGCTCTCAAACAAATTATAAGATTGTCACATTAATGTTAATGGTCGGAAGAACATGGAACATGCTTGACACTTATTAAAGATCTTCGTATCCTTGATGTTCTTTCGAGGATATAAAAGTGAGGACTGTTGTTTGATTTACTGTGATTTAGTCATTACGTACAATACACCCATGGCTATAACTGGCAAATAAAAGTGTTGTCAGTTTCTAAAGCAAGAGAACAAGACAGTTAATAAGATATTTAGAGGCGTAGCATGGGTCCAACGAATGAGGGGGCACTGAGTGTCATGTTGGGGGGGGGGGGGGGTCATGTTGGGGGTCTCACTAGGTGAATGAAATGCAAAAGAAAAGGGTCATCGAGTGGACTGAGTGTGAAATGGGGGGGGGGGGGGGTGCAATCATCTTCTTTTTTATACTGCCTTAACCTCCCCCTACTTTCTATCTTTTCATTTTTTCTTTCTTCTTTTACACCTTTTGATTAGGGGCACATACCCCTGCCCCCTATAGCAGCACTACCAAAGCTTTCTGGGATAATTTCCGTAGATGTGATATAAACTTTTGCTACAAAATAGCCCACGACCACATGAAAGGCATAATGCCAAGCTATGTTGTGGGAGAGAGGAAGCATGTACGGAAGCTTGGAGTAATACAAATTATTTTAAAGGTAGTGGATAATGTTGGTAAAAGGTCATAGTGATCACATTATATATAAGTTCCTATCAAATCGATTTGTAATTTTTGGATACATCTGTAAGGACTGCATTCAACCCCTTAAAATTTTGGTCTGGAATGCATGCATCATCACAAAATCGCATGCTTCGTGTTGACAATCCAAGAGATACATGTAGATAGAATTCATAAATCCCACAACACCAAAATGGAAGGAAAATAATTCCAAATATCTTGTCTCAAGCTCTTTAACTTACATGTAAGTGAAGACAGCCGACTGTTTATTTTGGTCCTAGACAACTATAGAAGCACCACGTATAGAAACATTTTCATCAAATTGTGACCGAAACCATTATCATGTACTCATCATAGATTGTCAATTCTCGCTATTGAGCATATAAAACCCAGCGAGTATAAAAGAAAGTAGGTCATATTTCATGATATTTTACAGATCTACTGACTCAATTAGGACTACAGGAGAGGTGTGACAGAGATAGCTAACACATAAATATATAATACTCTTTCTCTTTTTACTAAAGGGCAGACAGCCAGGCAATGCTTGAATAAAGGAAATTGAATGAGGAAGTTTGGACCAGTACTGTTTGATTAATGGCAGATGTACACATTACAACAACAGATAATGCAAGTTATGAAGGGATTTAACAATAGCAGCTATAATCATATCAAGCAATGCCATATCTTTTTGCACACATGCACAAAATGATGTGATAAAAAGGAGATCTCTCTTATATTTTTGGCAGTTGACATTTTTTTATATATAGATCCTTTTGATAGAAACAAAAAAAGATCTGTCCTAAAGACAGAATTGCAAATAGTTTTCTAGTTTCTTAAACTCTCTGGATCTATCCTCTCTCCAATTTCTCCTACTATCTTTTATTCTTTTCTCACTTTTTTTTTTATTCTCCCTGCCTCCCACCCTGCCTCCTGCCTGCCTGCCTCCCTCGAGTCCCTCCTCTCTCTCTCTCTCTCTCTCTCTCTCTCTCTCTCTCCCTCCCTTCCTCCCATTTGCCGTTTTTCTTTTCTCTCTCTCACTCTCCCTCCCCCCCCCCCCCCCCCCCGCCTCCTGTCCATCTCCTTGTATATTTAGTTGCTAAAAGGAACAAAAGAATTGTTTTAACATAAAGAAATCACTCCCTTTGAATCGTGAAGTAACATAATATGATGAGCATGTTTTCAATTTACTCATCAAAGAGATATCGATCAAATAAAAATGTCCATCCTTAAGACTGTCACTTAGGAAAAGACTAAAATAGAATACAAGAACATGTCTGACAAAACAAACAGATCACACGCACACACACAGATTTCCACTTTCAATCACAGATCTTGATAAACCCGAGAGGAAGGCAGTGACCTAGTGTTCTGTCTAACCTAGACTTCTCTTGCATCATCACCAAGGACCTAAACATCACTCCCCACAACCGAAGATCACCGTAAGAATCCTCGAGAAGCCAATTATCATCACTTCAATCAGCTAACGAGAGTCGAACGCACTCCTCCAACAGCCTCGGGCATTATATGATATCTATGACAATAGCTAAGCAGCAACCCACAGTCCCCGGGGGTCGAAACCTCCAACTCTCAAGAAATATCATTTCGGAAAACAGTTCGCAGGGATATCTTTTAGTGCCTCGTTGTACTAAGCATGGAAAATTGATAGCAGGTGATCCCGAAAATAACAAAGTCAAGAGCAATTTTGCGGTTGTGAGGGACCTTGTACATTATAAGCTATATTGGCAGAAGTTTCACTGAGATGCAGCTGGGATTAACATGACTGTATTCAATGTTTTCCTAACATGTACCCAGTTGAATACTGTGCCTGAGTTAAGTTTAGCAGGGGTTTATGGAAACTGTATGTTATATCAAAATCAAATTCTATCTTATAGGGTAATAAGAGTTTCAGAATGGAAATGTCTCATTTTCGTATGAAAAGAAGCTCCTAGATGAAAGAATTCTCAGCACATTTTAATGGAAGCATTTTTCAGCTCATTTCAATGGATGCATTTTTCAGCTCATTTTAATGGATGCATTTTTCAGCTCATTTTAATGGAAGCATTTTTCAGCTCATTTTAATGGGAGCATTTTACGCAGGATGTTCATTCATAAGGGGAATGTCAAACTAAATAAAAAGCTCTTATCTATCTAGGCCAAATCATTCATCTCTGTATATTTGTACATCAGGGAGTTAGAGGAAGACAGCTAGGTTCTCAGCCAACAGAATGGCTCACGGTCATCCACAGAGAAAGAAAAAGAATCATATATACCATCAATTTCTTTTCTTCAAATGTCTACACCACTGCATGTGTGTACACCAAAAGGATAGCCATTCAGAGCTCATTTAAAAGAATTTGCTTCATTTCTGTTTAAAGAGATCGTGTAACAATGTTAAATCTGAGATACACGGCCCTACGTGTTATCAGTGTCTGTGATATGGTGTAATATTGAAGCCTTAAAAAAACTGTGCTTCAAAATGATCAAGAAGTGCCTCAAAAAAGTAAAAATCTTTGAGTGACCGGTTTTACCATACTCGTTTTCCCCAATAGACTGTAGTAGTATGAAAACCGTCAGGCGAACGGTTTTCAAAATTTGTAATTCCAATCATAAATATCTTGATAATCAGGCAGGCGATCGGCTTGTAAAAGTCATGGGGTTCCTGACTGACCTAAAGGTTTATAATTATCATTGCATCATGAGCTAAATCCAGAATTTTGTTTCAGAATCTGAGACAAAGTTACCGGATCCCTTTAACTAAACTGAGAGATCTTCTTAATAACCTGGTGGTTTGGAGGGGTGCCTAGTTACTACAAAACTGTTCAACAGTGACAAGCGACTAATAGGAGGATAGGGAGGGGGCTCATGTTTTAGGGTGTCTTTTCCCTTAAAAATTTGCTTAAAAAGCACACATAAAGCATATTTTACAGCACCCTCTACAGGAGGATCTCGGACAAACAACTAAAAAAAAATTGAAACAAAAAAAGGGGGGAGGGTTCCTAGCACCCCTGGCTCCCATATATCATGTAAAAATTGTCTATCTCATAACTTACAAGACTCCCCCACCCCCCAGCCCCCTAAAAAAAAAATGTTTATATACAGTATACAAAAATTAAAAGAAAATTCTTCAAAATTTACTTGCTGGAAATTTGTCTTACCATTTCAGCAATGTGGTGCTTGCGGACATCCCAGTTGAACATGACATTCCAGATGTTGTACGTTCCCACGGTGATGGAGACCGAGCCAGCCCCGCCCATAACGCACACCAGGAGGAGTAAGAGCACCATCCTCGTCATTGTGTGAGATGACTTCAGGAGTCTTGGTGTCAAGCAACCGAGTGCCCCCATCCTAATATCCATTGAAGGGATGGATGGAGTGATGAGGGGTTGCTAGGTAACCGGGATAATCTATGACATCACAGTGCACTTCATCTTCCTCCTACAGACTCATCATCGGCATATTCCTTTGTTTCCTGATATGTAGACGTAGGTGAGAACCTGGTAACCATGCAAATATGATTCAATAAAGTTATGAAATCATGCATTGTGTACGAGGAACTTATTGTAAAATGCAAATAGGAAAATCCATTTGCTTTAAAAGGGGGAATTTGTTGGTTTAGATTCTACTCTCTGCATTTAAACAGTTTATAATTCATACTGATATCACTTTACAAATCAAACAAGGAAAGTGATTCCTGACATATTTTATTCAGTCACAAGTTGAAAGAAAACAAATATTTGAGAAATAAATAGACTTTACATTTAAAACAGGTAATATCCGAAATGAAAATAGCATTCTCAGTCATGTTTTAGAAAGATTGCACAAACAGCCATCAAAATCTCAATTCTGAATGAAAAGAAATATACTAGTCTTGGAACCATGAACACATACTGAATATTCAAATGGGAAAATGGTGATGTAACAAATTATTAATGAATAACCTAGCACGAAACCTTCATCTGTCAAAAAACAGTATAAAGACAATGGTAATTATAGTTTCAGAAATAGCATACATGCAGACATATGATAATCCTTGACATTTTGAAACATTTCTAAATTTCATTTCCATTTTCCTTTAAATCCTTTAATTCGAGTCTGATCGCGTAGACTACTCTATATATGATATCTCTCATGCTGTGATATATGCTGACCTAGAATTCAATTGTCACAGCAGGTACCCTTATTCATTCCATGTCTACAAATCATCCAATATGTCACACTATCTCTGTAATTCAGAAAATATGGCAGCATGCCTTTCCTTCTGTCATCTCAAAACATTTTCAAGGTTTTGATATCATGAAATTGAACTAATGAATTTGACTAAAGGCATACCATATGTTTATATATGTTATTCACTATTTTATGGTATTTTACTTCTGTTTTCTGCTCAATAAAGCCATGGTGATAATAGAGTGGAGATAGTGCACACTTTGTGTGGAAAAGAATTCTTAGTCTTAAAACCAGGGTTTATCATCATTATCATCATCATCATCATCATCATCATCATCATCATCATCATCATCGTCATCATTGTCATCGTTATCATTATAATTGTATTATTATTATTTGTATTATTATTATCAATTGTTATAACCATTATTATCATTATTCTGAAATATAATGACCAAATTGTTCTCTTACATGCCTATTATACCTCTCCAGCTTGTGAGTCATGATGTTATTGCAGAATCAGACCAATGTAACTTTTCCCTGAATCTAATATGTATTCATGAGGATAAGCAGATACTATGCATCAATCAAGCTAAACACATCAACAATCAAACGAAAAACATCAACAAGGCGGTCTTCAATGCATCCTGAATGATAACTCTTATTTCTCAAGGACACTCCATCCTCTCCTATTGAGTACCTAGGCCTGTCCCCATCAGCACGAGATTGCCAAATAACCTGCTATTTTAACTATCCGAATGCCAACTATCCAGTTATTTTGCGTCTTCATCACCCCGAAGTTGCAATTAGCAGGATATTTGGTCGAGATAATCATCCCAAGATATCTTGGGCTGGTTTGCAAAATATCCCGCTATTTGTCCGGTGCGTCCTCACCAGCCCGAAGACTCGCACTATGCGTGAACGCTGAGCAAAATATCTCGAGCCAATTTCTCAAGCTTGAGTTTCAAGTTTCGAGGTCAAGTCTCGGGCTGATGAAAACGTGATTTGATTATTTCCCAAATCAGCAATAGCAGGCTATTTGGCAATCTCGAGCTGATGACGAAGACATACCTAATGATAACTCTCATTTTTCAAGGACAGTCCATCCTCTTCTATTGAGTACATAGGCCTGTCATCATCAGCTCGAGATTGCCAAATATCCCGCTATTTCTGATTTGAGAAATGATCCCGAAGTTACTAATCGCGTGTTCATCAGCTTGAGACTTGAAACTCGAACTCGAGATATTTTGCTCAGCGTTCGCGCATAGTGCGAGTCTTCAGGGTGGTGAAGACGCACCGGACAAATAGCGAGATGTTTTGAAAACTAGCCCAAGATATCTTGGGATGATTATCTCGACCCAAAAATCCCGCTTATTGTAACTCGGGCTGATGAAAAAGCAAATTAGCTGGATAACTTGCGTTTGGGATAGTTAAAATAGCGGGTTATTCGAGCCGACGAAAACAGGCCTGATGAGTAGATGATACAAGAGACTTGTGCAGCTGAACAGAAAAGGCAGCGAATAAAGTAAAATAAATTACCACTTCTAGCTGCAACGACAAATTGGCTGATGGCGAAAAAAATTCTATGGCAGGAATTTCTTCCCTTTTGATGTTTTGATTTCTAAAGCAAAAAGCGCTGCTCTCTGAATAGCTATTAAAGTGAAGTCCTTTAGTGAAGTCCTTTCAATGGAGATTAAAATTTGCAAAGTGTCTGCAGGTGATGAATATCTGGGCGTAATGGAGTTACAAAATAAACCTATAACAAAAGGTAATGCTGACAAAGGAAGAGGTATTCTGTGGCTTAAGGTATTTGTCACTTTAAACAAGTTACATATTCGTCTATAAGAGAGAGATTAACTGGAAAGTTTCATTTCCCAGAGCATCGATCATGTCTACTGCGGTTCACCTCTTTTTTTTAAACACAGATTTTCATCAGGAAAACTTTTGTGAGGAACCAACTGAAATATTAACCAAATTCATCTTCATATAAATCTGATGAGAGCAAGAAATGTATCAAGTTTATACATGTAAACTGGTAGAAATGAATGCCCTCTGGTTCTCCGCACACAATGACAAAATGTCAGCTTTTAAGGAATAAAAATTACTGTTTAATGACTTAAGAACATCTATAAAATATAAGTAAATAGTTATCCTTCTATGATATGACTTCTTTTTAATCTTCAAATTCTTGATTTTGTTTCATTTTACCTAATTCATTTCTCTTCCTTTTGTGTTTGAATGGTGAGAATTTCAAAAAGTTGTCCCGGATTTCCTTCAGCTCATGACAGAGAAAAGCAACAAAGAAAAAAAAAATCCATCTCACATTTGGCAATGAACGGTACGTATCCTTCAATTCTGCCCTTTTATTTGCGTAGCTACAATGTAATACAGCAGTAATGACTGGCATTTAAAGTACCGGTAAATGACAATCATGCTCATTTAACAAACATAACAGGCAATACATGACACATTTCCTTAAATATAGGCAGACTATTCACAAACTAAGTGACATGGCCTTTTGAAAAAAGAGGTATTGGTGAAACATGGATTCTGATAGGTACTCACCACTAAGTAGCGCTGTTAATCTGCACATATGTATTCAACCTGCTCTTCTCAGCTTGTGGAACAGGACAATACTGTTTCTTCTTCTGCTTCTTCTTTCCCCCATCAATCTTGGCATGAGCGAGGAGCTTTCCAATGTGACCTCAAGCGAGGGCCATAGGGGCAGGATCAGGCGCTCACCACGCCAGCCACTGTGGGGGCAGCAAACATGAGAATCCTTGCTGCGTATTAGAAAGGGGGAAGACCCAGGAGATGATCATTAGTGAGGGATTAGGTCGTTAAGCCTAAGCTGTGAACAGTTTTTTGTTCAGATACAACTGCTAAAGAGAGATTATGTCATCGAGGCACAACAAAAATTAACGTGAAGTAGTAATTATGTTTTCTAGCTGCCATGGCATGAGCAGATGATTTGTGTTAGAGCCACATATCTCCACACTTCAAGCAAAGAGATTTCTTTGCTTCGATCAAGTATCCACGCAAATGTATTTGTCTGCAACGACAACAAATTGTTGATCAGCTTCGACCAGTATGTGTGGACAGCTATTCATATGTCTAACATGTGTCTGATCTGTCCATCTTTTGCTTTCTTGACGTACGTATTCATTACGAATTGATACACTATTCATAACAAACACTCTCATCCTCTCTTCTCCCCCTCTCTCTCTCTCTTCTCTCCTCTCTCTCTCTCTCTCTCTCTCTCTCTCTCTCTTTCTCTCTCTCTCTATATCTCCTTCCCTCTTCTTTAATGTCTCACTTTCTCTTTTACTGGCTCTCATTTTCCCAGTCTCTCTTTTCTTGATGTTTTATTCTACCCCCCCTCACTCTCTCTCTCTCTCTCTCTCTCTCTCTCCCCCTTTCTTTCTATCTCCCTCCCTCTTCTTTAATGTCTCACTTTCTCTCTTTTACTGGTTCTCATTTCCCCGGTCTCTCTCTTTTCTTGACGTTGTATGGCTGTAAAATCTCTCTGACATTCAATTTCCCATCATTGATTAATCAAAACCAGTCTTGTGGATAATTATGCTCCATACAAATATTCCCCATTCAAGGTCTACATTCAACTTTTAGTATTGCTTTGCATTGTGCGGTTCCGTGATTTTGTTTTATTCTTCATTACTCTCTATTATCATCAGAAGAGAGAGAGAGAAAGCATAATTTGACTATTAATTCAAATATTGAGTCAACGCCTTCTGATTAAAAAACATTTTTCAGATGACAAAGATGATTAATAGATGTTCCCTGATGGTTTTCATGGGGAGTGAGTCTTCACAATTAAAAGCTTTTCAGAAACACCATATGGTAGCCTGATTGATGCATCCTTTTGTCAAAAGAAACCATAAAAAGGAGAAAGATATTACTTCATGAATAGAAGCCTCATTTGTTTTGTCCAAATCTAGAGCATGTTTCAAAACACTGCATATAGAAGCATGCGGCAAATGGCAATTATTCACTGCTGTAATAGTAATTATTCAGCCACACAACTAATGCAACCACGTCAATGTGCATGCTGTAAAAATGAATAATTTAACATTTGTCTCTCAAAAAAAAATTATTCATGATATCATTTGTTTTCGTCAAAATTTTATAGCACGTTGCAAACCACTGCATATAAAAACACGCAGCAAATGGCAATTATTCACTGCTGTGATAGTAATTATTCAACCACACAATTAATGTAACCCCGTCAATGTGCATGCTGTAAAAATGAATAATTTAACGTTTGTCTTGCGAAAAACGAAATTATTCACGATATCATTTGTTTTGTGCAAATTTTATAGCACGTTTCAAACCACTGCATATGAAAATTTGCAGCAAATTGCGATTATTCACTTTTGTGATATTATTATCTAGCCACACAATGCAACCACGTCAATGTGCATGCTGTAAAAATGAATAATTTAATGTTAGTCTTGCGAAAAACGAAATTATTCACGATATCATTTGTTTCGTCAAAATTTTATAGCACGTTTCAAACCACTGCATATGAAAATTTGCAGCAAATGGCAGTTATTCACTGCTGTGATATTATTATCCAGCCACACAATGCAACCACGTCAATGTGCATGCTGTAAAAATGAATAATTTAACATTTGTCTTGCCAGAAAAAAATATATTCACAACATCATTCGTCTTGTCCAAATTTTAAAGCACGTTTCAAACCACTGCATATGAAAATTTGCAGCAAATGGCGATTATTCACTTTTGTGATATTATTATTCAGCCACACAATACAACCACGTCAATGTTCATGCTGTAAAAATTAATAATTTAACGTTTGTCTTGCGAGAAACGAAATTATTCACGATATCATTTGTTTCGTCCAAATTTTATAGTACGTTTCAAATCCCTGCATATATAAATATGCAGCAAATGGCGATTATTCATTTATGTGATATTATTATCCAGCCACACAATACAACCACGTCAATGTTCATGCTGTAAAAATTAATAATTTAACGTTTGTCTCATGAAAAAAAGAAATAATTTAGAAATCGGGAATGATCGAAAAGTTTGCCGAGTTGCGAGGTGTATATGCAGTGGTGTATGGGATATTGCCCCAGCATGCACGGCACTTAGCAACCAAGGAGGATTATTAATATCATGCTGCTAACCATGCTTATCTACTGACTCCCCGGAGGGGGGTTTAATTTATATCCCAACCTGCAAATGATCAGTCTACTCTTTCACACCATATCCAAGTTTCAAACGTTAAAGGGATTGGGTAACTTTGTCTCAGATTCTAAAACAAAATCCTGGATCTAGCTCATGCTGCAATGATAATTATAAACCTTTAGGTCAGTCAGAAACCCCATGAAATTTACAAGCCGATCGCCTGTCTAATTATCAAGATATTTATGATTGGAAATCGAAATTTAAAAATTTGCTATCCTAACGGTTTTCATAGCACTACAGTCTATTGGGGAAAATGAGTATGGTACAACCAGTCTCTCAAAGATTTTTACTTTTTGAGGCACTTCATGATAATTTTGATGCACAATTTTTTTAGGGCTTCAATATTACACCATATCACAGACACTGGTAACAGGTAGGGCCATGCTTAACAATGTTAAACAATGCCTTTAACTCTCTGAATCATCAAAGTTTCCGACAGAAAATCTTTCAACCTGGATCTCATCCATCAAACTGATTCTGTTTTAATGATTTAATCATCTAATTTGGTTCATCTGTACTACATTAATTCAAATTTAAAGCTGATATAATTTCACTCTTTCCTCTCCTTACCATACAATGTTGACAGATTCAATGATCACTTCTACAAAACAATGACTGAAGGTTCTTCTCTGTATGAATGTATACCTGTTCCATAGTCAACAACACAATAATAATGCTCTCTTTAAATGTAAAATTACATATTTTTCAGAATTAATATTTTCATGAATATTGTAAATTCACTTTCCACAATTTGTCATTTAATAATAATAATAATAATAATTAACCGTTCTTGTATAGCGCATAAGTACATTTGACTGCTAATATTAGAGTTTTCGTCACTGGAGCGAATATCAGATTACCCAGGGGTGGCATCAATTTGTTCAGCTGTATACTGGTGTGAAATAAACCTTTCCTTCTGTTACCAAGATCATGAATAGGCAGGAATGTTTAAAGGTGACGAGGAGGTGACGAGGATCAGGACTTCCAACTCCACAAGTTTACTTAAACAATCCGTGTCAATTCTTTCTTTCCTCCAGGCCACACATTCCTCTCCCTCTCTCATTTTTATGTCTTTCATTATCTCACATTTTTCTCCTTTGGATCACACAAAGAAATACTAAATGCATTCTCCATTGGTATTAAGATTGACTTTAAGGTGTGACAGACTGGAATTTGCGGGAAGGTCAGGGGTGAGGTCTGTGCACTATGCCACCCCCTCCCCTCCCCCCATCCCCTCCCCCCCCCCCCCCCCCCAAAAAAAAAAAAATTACTTATACTTCAGGCTTATAATATCTCATCCTTTTGTCACAGAGTCAGACAAAAAAATCAACAACAAAACAAGCATTATTTTCTTGAAAAAAGCTTTGTATTCTAGAATGCTCATTTGAAATGATACAACTGTGTCTGTAGATACTCATTAGACCTTTCCCGTAACAGTAGAAGGCATATCTTGTCTGTTTGGAGCCAGAAGGATGTTAACTTCCATACTTTACCATAGAGTTAATGCCTTTCGGGATCTGAACAGATGATATATCTTTGAAGCACTACTCTACACCAGTCTTACTTTGCCGTGTTCAAAACATGACACAGGAGGACCATAACAAGAAATGATGAGATCATTATCAAATATCAGAACCTCTCTACGATCCTCATTGTTAAAATACAGACGAACCGAAAACCATGCACGAGACCACTGTGTTACCCTTTTCAATGAGAGTTACCAGGTTTCAAGGTTGACTTCTGCAGCTTTTTGAAGTGTGACCTTTGCAAATATAAATCATTTGATCCATTTTTGTCTATTTTCTCCTCTACTGAGACTGATCAATACAAGTATGCAACTCACCTGATGAATATCAGAAATGTCTGCTTTTGATCGAGGGAAAACCCAAAAGCAATAGCAGTCTGGTCCCTACAGAGATAAAGTTCCTGATTTGCCTCTCTGTCCGACTATCTCTCTCTTTCTGTCTCGACCCAAAATCCTTTAGAGAAATGACAAAAGTTCATTGAATCACAAAAAGTCCAACTGCTACACTTTTCTGACGGGAACAAGTGACAATTGTAATTGAATGGGGCAGTCCACACATGGAAGAAAACAAATAAGAAAGATGTTGTTTACAATTGAAAGAGAAGAGACTGGAGTGAACAAAACTTCAAATGCTGCACGCTGTCACAGAAATAACAGGATCCTGATATGAATGGGCAATACTACAGTTGACAGTGTGCGGTGAGATGGACATACTACTAACTGGCCTGGTCTTCAAAACTACGGTAAACCTCTATAGGGAATCGCAATTGGCTTTCTGCCCAAAGACCTATTTCAATTTTTACAAGTTTTGGCGTCATTCTAATTCTTGCTAAGCTTGGGATTCCTGGTAATCAAATTATTTTCTTTTATGGGCAAGGTTGATTTATGATTATGTATTCTATTCTTATAAATTCATTGCAATAAACAACTTTTGAGAGAACATAAGAACAGAGGTATCATAATAACAAATCATCTAGTTCAAATTTCAAGAGGGCCATGCACACACATTAATAGTTAGAATTCAGAGCTTCCATATACATCTTCTTCTCTTTTATTCCCCCTAACTACAATTGAATAGGCCTCTCTGATGAGTCTATCAAGTTCCTGTTGTATTAACCTTGCCTTCCCGATCGTACACAAAGTGCTAGAAAAACATTCTATAATTGCATTTTGGCAGTCACTTAAACATGAATATGTTCAAAATCATTTACAATACAGCCTATTTGCATGATAATAGATTCTAAATTCACATGATTGATGGTATGGTGGCTGTTTGGCAATCAACAGTCGCATATTGGAATCCATTTAAATGCAATTGTTGTATTTGTACATGAAAGAGGGAATCAGAAGGGTCTAATTGGTAGCTTAAAGAGAAGGTCGAGTTTAGCAGTGAAGATGAGAAAATATTTTGTGAGGATTCTCATTCTTTGTATCCTATTTTTGAAAAGTATCATTCATATACATGTAGGTAATAGAAATGACCCCCCCCCCCCCCCCCCGAAAAAAAAAAAAAAAAAAAAAAAAACGATTGCTCTTTTAATGCCATATTATTCAAAATATGAAAAGAAATAGCTGAAGAGTATAGACCAAACATCAATGTGTAGTATGCAGTGCACGTGTTTCCACCACGATTGAGTCAATTTATTTTTTCATTTTTATTATTCAGAAACCTCAAAGTACAGTACACATCAATTGTTATGCATTTACTTAATCAATCTTTTCCCAATGATTTCCAGACAGTTTCTTTCACTGACAATTTTAACTTTGCTAGCTAATCCTATCATCTGTCACAAGCTTGCCATAACACCTCAATCACACCCTAATTGTTTGAGCGCTAAGTTAGTGGATTACTGCTGATGAAGGACATGTGATTCTCTAACAGGTGGCATAGTGTTGGATCATGGTTGGATCAATATTTATTTATTTTTAATCAAAATGCTAATATTTCTAGTTGTGTGCATGACAATCGGATAATGTACTTTTATGATCGCATGTAGTTATAATTTTGACAGAAAAGTTAGTAAATCCCTTGAAGCTGAGAAAGAATTAAGTGGGCTATTATCCTGCTGGCATTAGGATCATGTCATGTCAATATGGGCTATTACAGGCAAAGGTTGACAAAGTAATTTATCCATTTCTGTATTTGTAACTTTCCTTTATCATTTTGTATTTTATATTGCAACCTCTCTGTCCTGTACTCCAGCCTCCCCCCTCTTCCCCCCCCCCCTTCTCCCCCCCCCCCCTCTCTCTCTCTCTCTCTCTCTCTCTCTGTGCCTACTCTCCATTTTCTCTATTTGCTGTTCCTTTTTGAGACACTTTAGTACACAAATTAATTATTAAACAATTAGCTTCTTATTACTCGGCTACAGAATAAACCACTACATTAACACACTCAATTAGCACAACTACCGATAACAAGTAAAAACATGAATATGTAGGTGATCTATCCCTTTAACTTGGTTGTAATCTATCAGAAAACATAGGTGTGAGTTCCTGTCTATGGCAACACTAACAGATACATGTAGATTACAAATACCATAAATCTCCGTGTATAAGGCGCACTTTTTTGCCGCCGAAAAAATTTGAAAGTCGGGGGTGCGCCTTATACACAGGTACAGAATTTTTGTTTTGTTTTGTTTTGTTTTTGTTTTTTTCGATTTATGGCGCTATGCCTGGCAATGTCTCCCAGCTCAGTAATCAGTGTGTTGACTCACCACTCGGAAACTACAACAACACTCAAATTTGTCTATCATCTTGGTTTGAAAGTAATCTTTCTAATAGATCTCAATATGTAGTTTATAATAATAATTCCTCAAATATTTTTTTGTATAGCAAATGGTGTTCCACAAGGTGCACCATTGGTACCATATGTACTCTTGTTTTTAATTTACATTAATGATCTTACACACTCTTCTAAAAACGACATTGTTACTATTATTTGTGACAAGTTCACAAGCACAAATCAGCGCCTTCAACTGCACCTTGATGTAAAATGAAGGTCCTTCCCCGCGTGGGTTTTCGGCAACAAAACAACAACAACCAAAAAAAAAAAACGATTTTTTTTTTTTTTTTTTTTTTTTTTTTTTTTTTTTTTTTTTTTTTTTTCTCCTTCCCCAAAATAGGGGTGCGCCTTATACACAGGTGCGCCTTATACACGGATATTTACGGTATATCAATTATAAACCCAATACATTTGCAGACAGCTGAGTACATATCACAGGGTAGAAGAAAGAGATCATATTCATGATTGTGATGGCTGCATTTGCTGTTATGAATATTCAGGAACACATTCCATAGAGGACGACTCCAGGATCTTGTTAAATATGGGGTCCCATTTTTTTTTAAATCTATCAAGAAAGCAAAAAATGCTTCAGATTTAGGGGTGACTGTTTGGGAGATTACCACTTTATGCTCCCGAAAACAGATAAAAAAAATTAAAAAATGATCTTTTAAAAGTAAAAGGAAAATATCCTCCTCTCATTTCTTTTAATAACACATTATGGGATTATATTTCTCGCCATTCATGCTTGTACAGCACGTAGAGAAACTTTAGTTTATTATGCGCTATATAAATATTGTATTATTATTATTATTATTATTAATGTATGCACCTCTCGCCATGTATTAAATCTTCATATATATCTAGCACCATTATATGTATAATTATATCAGACAACATTTTTAACTATCTTTTTACTATATTGTGTTGTTCAGGCATGGCTCAGACGAACAAGGAGCTATTAATATGTAAAAATGACAGTAGATTTAGTTTGTAAATGTTGCAGTGCTACAAATGATATGTTAATACTAGACTTGTTATCTAAAAAAAAACAGTTTGTTATTTAATTTAACTGTACATACATGTATCTTATGGTGGAATGACCTTCAGTCAAACAAATACTATTTATTCACAGTATGCGAGTTTGTGTTGCCTAATATGTAGATGAAGGTTGACATACTGCATGTATGCCTCAGTGACGATCAAATTATTCTATTTGAAGTATGTGTTGATTCCTTCTACCAGCAGATGTTGGCTTCTAGAGCTATTTCAACAAAGCTACATAAAATTTCAGGGGCAGAACCAGGCTAGGGTTAAAAACAGGGGGGGGGGGAGTCAATTCCGATAATCTCTGAAAAGCAACAACCAAAATGAGGGTTATCAGGTTTTGCAGGAGCCTTTGGGTTTGAAAATTTGAAAAAAGGACACAAATATTTATTTTTATTTAAAAATATGCCATAACCATTTTAAAGGGAGTAATGGGCAAATTGTGCATCTATTCCACCCCCCCCCTCACTGGTCATTAGAATTGTTATATCAAATCATAGATAATTTATAAAAATGGTTTGATATAGCGAAGTGTAGCTGAAATAATGTTTTGTTCTCAGGATAAAACTCCTGAACCAAATAGTTTTCAATCAATATTTTAATTACAAAAGCTTTTTATATTAAATACATGACTGAAGTTTATTTAAATCCATTTCACAAATACTGGCCTTTCGTAAATAAATAAAACTCCATCACTACAATTTAGATATCCGTCAAATGCATCATGAATCTGCAAGACACTGGTATTCAAGAGATAAAACACAATGTTTCAAGGATGCAATTAAATGGCAATGCCAAAGTGGCAGCCCCAGATTGAATGAATACTGGTTTGAATTGCACAATTACAACAGGAAATTGCCATTTGAATTATTGATCGTTCAATTTATTGAGGGCTATTTAACAACAATTTTAAATGATCAGTTTTTGATTGAAGGGCATTCTTCAATGAAGTATTTTTAAATGCTTGCTCTTCTTGCTCGGGTCAGGATATTGACTTGTCTTTTATCTATGGCTTCCCAAGCAGTGATATTTGATTCAAAGTCTTGTTATTGTTTTTTATTCTTTTTTTTATTCAATATTATTTGAATCACTGTTCAGTTAAAAAAAGTACCATTTGTTTACAGGAACTCTTGTATGGTTTGCTAGAAAGACAAAGAATTTATACTGTGTTTTTAACAATTTTGTCCTGTTCTGCTTTAGTCTGCTTTTGCTTTTGTGTCTTATTGTTTTTGTTGTCTCCATCAGAGCTCTTTTAGAGTGTTCCAGAGCTGAACTGCTAACCACTCAGGCGCGTACACAGGGGGGGGGGGGGGGGGGGGGGGGTTGGGGGGTTAACCCCCCCTTTGGTAATTTTTTATGTGTAAACCCCCCCCTTTTGTTTTTGTTTTTTGTTATTAAAAAAAAAAAAAAATATTCCCATGGTTGACCTAAAAAAGCTGACCTTACCCCCCCCCCCCCCAACGGAGCAAAATGTCAAATTTCCAAATTTCGAGACCAAAAAAAAAAGTGTCCTCTTCCCCCCCCCCCCCCCCCCAGCTTATTCAGCGGTCGGCTGAGTCGTTGCGATTTTTTTTGGACCCAAAAAAAAAAAAAAGTGACCTCTTCCCCCCCCCCCCCCCCCCCCCCCCCCCCCCCCCCAGCTTATTCAGCGGTCGGCTGAGTCGTTTATATATATTATAAATGTGTTTTTTTTTAAAAAACCTTGAAAAAATCCTGCGTACGCGCCTGAACCACTCATGTACAAATATCAATATTTTCACTTGTTTGAATGATTGTCAATTTGTTGCCATTCACTCATGATTCAAGCTGAAAGAGGTAAATAAGAAATAAAAATAAAATGTATTCAGACAAATCAACCACACTACACAGAGATCTGAAGTGGCCGAAAAATGGCAAAGAATATATAGTGTACCTGTAAAATGATCTTGCAAGTTGCAAGAGCAAATGATACAAGTTTATGACGTCAATATTTGTCATTTTGTCACAAACTTCACAACTCGAGGGAGTCATAAATCATTTTAATCAAGCAAGGATATGGCTGAATTTGGACAGATAGGGATTTGTAAGAGTGTGAAATTAAGCTCTCTCTTTCTCTCTCCCTCTTTTTTTCTTTTTAATCATTTCCCCTCAGATAATTAGTCATAACACTGCCTTAAAATTGAAATTTGACAGCTCTAGAATTGGAAGAACAATTCATATTCTGCTTATTCTCGACATACATATACAAGTAAACCAGGTCATAATCTAAGGGCACAATACAATCAAATGTTATATTGGGGCCTTTACAACACTGACATACATAATATGAGATTCAATTAACAATTGCTTTGAACCTATCTGTCAAATTCAATGATGGGTGAATGATATGTCACCTAATTTATGGTATTCCTAATGGAGGGCATGCACACTAGAACCTTAACCCATTGCGCACTGGAGCCCAGAGGATCCTGTGTATAAGTCTATGGGAAATACAATAATTTATTGGTAAACCGGTTAAAAGCTGTGCACAAAGTCTGCACAATGCAAACAAACAGCCCCTGTAATGCGGGTCTCAACGCTCGACCTTAGCCAAGCAAACACGATGATGGAAGCTGAAATCGGTATAAAATTGAAGAGTGAAGTACATCAATCAATTAATGACATAAAAGGATGCATTAGACCACTGCAAGGATGCATTAGACCACTGCAAGGATGAATACTGCACATTTAAGTTCAAGTCTATTGTTTCTAGCTTCCTGTATACCTTCGCTCTGACATTTTTCATTAGCCGGATTAGAAGGAGGCAGGCAGTTTGGATCACAATTTTCTAAACAGTTTTTGATTACCGGTAATTAATAGTCAGACACTTATCGTAATGAGCTGAGCGCAGAAATTTTTAATCACATTTTAGCTGCTACAGCGGCTCGATATCTCAAGACATAGTGATTCATATCTATTATAAAATGTAATTAATTAACCTGCAATATAGTGGTACCCATGCATGGGTGTCGATCCTTATTGTTGTGAATAGATCATCCCCCATGAACAATAGGCATCAATTACAGATCTTTGCCCATGGTGGTATCCATGTTGTTTGATCAACTGCATAAAAATTTGCCTGCATTTCTAATGTAAAAATTATTTAAGTATTTACTAATTTTATCATCATCATTTTTATCATCATTATCTTTACCATGGTTGCCATCCTCATCCTCATACCATCAACATTAATTTACATTATTAACTAATGCTACAGAAAGTCAAAAAAATCTTTCATTTCCACCCCTACTGAGATGGTCAAGCTCTACAAATTTTAGAATATAGTCTGAATGTCATCCAATTTTCCAATTCATTGAACTAGCTATGATTGTTGACTTTACACTATGGTCTAGAGGGTCTACATCAAATCTCACCAATAATTACACAAAATAAATAACACAGTCAGCAATAAACAACAATAAACTCCAGTAAGAGCAGGCCTACCCTACAGCCTTCAAAAAAATATTCAACTCACCTGAAACGAACACACCAGTTCCTTCATAAATCTAACTCAACACAATGCCCGAGCCACCCGGGTAGCATTTACCCTAATCCCGTTGGAAATGCAGTGACTTACAAGAAGCAAATGTTTATGTGTGTTGACCACCAGAGCGTGTGGGAATGAAATTAATGGGCGGAGCTCATCATTTATTATGATTCGATGATCATCGATTGTCCTGGCCTTGTGTATGTCGCCATCTGCCGGCTGAGACATGATACGCGTTTGTAAAAATCCAATTATACACACGTACACGCGATAGAAAGATAAATATATATGATGTACATAGTACATAGATTAATAGGTAGCTAGCTAGATATAAAGATGGATAGAAAGTTACATACATTGATAGTAGGAGAGGGGAGGGGTACCAACAAAAAAGGGCACTTTCTGGAAACAGGGGGCACCTACAAAGAAAAAGAAAAAAAACATACACAATTTTTAGACATTGGTATATACCCCTACATCGTCATGATTGTTATTACACTACCAGGGATGACATCAATATTTTTTATTTTTGTATTTACCTGGTACAAAATACTGCTTTAGCAACATACTTTGCAGTTGGGTGTGATGGTCTGAATGTTAGCTTTCGAGAGGGCGAAGCGAGCGAGCGAATTTTGATAGATTTGTGAGGTCCCAGTGCGAAAAATTACATCTTATAAAGTTATTTAGTGAGCACTAATTTTTTTTTTGGTCCTCAAAAAAATTGGAAAAATTGCACCCCCCCCCCCCCTTGAGCGCCAGGGGGGGGGGGGCCATCTCCCAAAAAATGTAAAATTAACATTAAAAAATTGTAAAAATACACGTTTTTTTCCCAGGAGGGGGGAGGGGGCCGGCCCCCCCCCCCTGGATCCGCCACTTCTTGTGAGAATGGAAATGAGAAAATCTATTGAAGAAAAAGGGCACCCATCAAATTTTTAAGGGATATCTATCATATGTAAAAAGGGGCATTTCGAAAGGGGGAGGGGCTCATAAAAAAAAAGGAAAAGGGGAAGTTATCTGAAGGAAATATGGTACTTATTACAAAGGAAAAGGGGCACGTGTTAAAATAAAACGGGCACTTATCGGAGGTCAAAAGTGGCATTTAAGAGAAAGGAAAGGGGGTTCTTATTACGAAGGAAAAAGTGCACTTATTAAATAGGAAAAAGGGCACGAGTCGAAGTAAAAGAAGGGCAAAATATAAGAGGTTAAAAGGGGAATTTCTCGCACCTGAAAAGCAGTAGTCACCAGAGATGAAAAGAGAGGAGAAGAACAATTATTTGTAATGAAAAGGGGCACTTGTCCTATGTTAAAAGTGGCACTTTGGGCGTACCTGAAAAAGTGGGCGGCACAGCGTAGTAGGTTTTTTTTGCCCCCGAAAATTTTAAAATCGCCCCCCCCCCCCCTGAGCGTCAGAGGAGGGACCCCTTTTCCTTTTCTTTTTTTTTAACAAAAAAAAGGTAAAAATTACCTGTTTTTACCTGTTTTTTGCCAGGGGATGGGGGCCCGGAAAAAATTTCAGTAACATTCCTTAATCACTTGTATCGAATTATAAATAATCCACGTTTGAAATGTATTCGTGGGCCAACTGAAGAAGAAAGACGAAAGGCTTCCGTAAGTCTTTATTCACTACTATTCTTCGATTTATTTGTGATTTTTAGTACCAATCACATCTTTACAATTATTTGTAACATAAAACATTGACATTATCTAATCATGCTTTGCAATATCACTTCGGGCACATTGAGTACAAATCATTAATAGTTTCATCTGCTTGGTCAAGTAACGTTGAATTTGTTTCACAGTCTGTCAACAATCAATTGAAAAATCATAATAAATACAAACTTCTTGTTTGGGTAAGCTTCCACTTGCTGAGTTGTCCTAAAGGTCTGGAGAAAAGCTTACCAGAACAAGTTATATTTGTACTGATTGTGGGGGGTAAAATGTTTATGTACCTTGAGTATAATCGTAGATGGCAGCATTGTCCTAAAATGTGGAATACACGTCCAATTTACTCGGCATCTCGATCTGACAGATTTCTTGAAATAATGGCAATCATGGTGGGCAATATGATTTTTAAAAGGTAAGAGGTGAAAAAAAACCTAACCCAGTCAAGAAAAATATAATCTAAAGAAAAAGACAGATGAATGCTCTTTAGACACCAACGCTTTAAAACAAGAAGCAGTAGATAATTCGTGGCTTGGCAGTCTTGATTGTCTTGAAATGGAGCATTCATATCCATGAGATTACCTGTCAGAATAAACTATAGATAGATAAAGAAAGAAATAACTGAATGAAGCTATATGCCCATGCTCGATTGTCTTTGTCGACCACGTGATTCTTCTCGGGATTGAAGACCAGCTAGGTGTAATCATAAAGCCCCTATATTGAATGTCTTCTACTTTCTTTGAATATTGATCTCGGATTATTACTCGTTATTGATCAGAGTTGAAAAGGGGCACTTATTACAAAAGGAAGATAGGTCTTTATCTGAGTTAAAAAAGGGCTTTTGGGGGATACTAAAAAAGTGTGTGGGTGTGGGGTTTTAACGTGCCCCTTATCCCCCCCCCCCTCCCGACAGCGCCTCCTCTGGATAAATGGCTTGAAAACCAGTCTATAGTCATTTACCACAACCAGGTTTTAAAAGCTTATATAATTTTAAAAAAAATAGATTGTTGTTAAAAGTTCTAGATGTACCACGTCAAAAAGCCTTTTCTTATCTTTAAAAAAAATCTTCTCAGTTGTACTTTCGATTGTCAATGGCAAGACACCAATCATCAATACAGTATTAGCGAGAACTTACGCAGTTGAACGTTGTGCTTTAAATCTGAATTGTTACTGGTACCAAGACTTATTTCCATGAGGTAATTATTGTACTATCGCTCTTGTATGCCCTTTTTAAGTAGGTGGATATTACACAGTCATGGAACTTCCATGGCTGTGTACTATCCACCTACTTAAAAAGGGAAGTGAAAGTGGCCTGCAATTGTCAGGATTCGATGTATCTCCCTTTTATTGAAGGGTATAATACTGTCCTCTTGACTAGTACTGCTCTATTGACTTATTCTTTTTACTCTTGTTTACCATTACAACATGTGCACTATATCACCACCACCACTATACGTATGTACAACTAGCACCAGGCGCGTACACAGGGGGGGGGGGGGGGGTGGGGGGGGGGTTAAACCGCCCTTTGGTATTTTTACGTGTGTAAACCCCCCCCATCACCCCTAACCCCCCCTATTCCCATAGCTGACCTAAAAAAGTGACCTTACCCCCCCACCCCAACGGAGCCAAATGTCAAATTCAAATTTCGAGACCCCCCCCCCAAAAAAAAGTGACCTCTTACCCCCCCCCCCCCCCCCTCGCTTATTCAGCGGCTGGCGGCTGGCTGAGTCGTTGCGAAATTTTCGGCACGATTTATAAATGTTAAACCCCCCCCCCCCCTTGAAAAAATCCTGCATACGCGCCTGACTAGCACCAGCAACGACACTACTACTATATCACTACCCTTACCATCTATTTTGTTTAAAGCCCCTCTAAAGTGTTGGGATCCCCAAATTCACCAAAAATTTGATTGCGAAATTTCACTAAAATTGTATCATAATGTGAAAGCAGATGTCATTATTTTAAGACACACTTCTGAAAAGATCCTCCCCCCCAAAAATAAAAATTAAAATAAATACATAATTTGGGTTTTCTATTGTACGCAGAAAACCTAAATTCAGTATTCTTTCATCAAATTCGACTTCAAACACATTTGTTTTGAAAATCCTTGCAGAAATGTGTCTTAAATGACATTTTCTTTCACATTATGATACAATTTCAGTGAAATTTATGGGGCTCCCAACACTTTAGAGGGGCTTTAAATTGTTATAAATGGACTTATTTCACTGTCCTTAAACATTTTATTTTTAATTTTGTTATACTGGTATACACTGTACAATTTCTCTTGTAAAATATATTCAATTGAATATGATATAATTGCTGTTTGGCGATATCCTTTTAACACATGAAGTCACTTTCTTCGTTTTATAGTTATTATTGAACTACAATATGTCAATGTACATTATTAATTTGTATAACCTTATTTCATGTTTTCTTGTATTTTACTGCAAATATGACGATAAAATTCTCCGGACTTTTGCCTTGTCCGTTTTTAAAAACAATAAAACCGAAATTTAATTGACTATTCAACAAAGTCGCTTAGTGGGCGTCAACTCTTAACAGGACACACCCCCGAACTCTTTACCACAGACGTGACCCAGCTGAGGGTCGATATCGGATCACACGGCCCTTCAATGAGGACTCAACGCTAGTCTTGTTTTGCAGTCCTGATAGCATATCGACGGACAATGGTACATGTATATATCCAGGGAGTTGGAAATCCCTGGTATATCCATGCTAAAGGGAGGGGTAACGAGCAACTACAACATTATTGTTTGTTCTGTCTGATGGAAAGTATGCAACTAAATAATATATTTCACAAACTTTCTGATGATTTCTGCCCGCCTGACATAACCCGTGTCAGAGTCTAAATTTGAGACTACAAATGATTATGCGACATTGTGGGAACGAAAACAGTATGGCTGCCTCCACGAAGACTGAAAATCAACCTCAAATGAATAGTGGACGTTTAGCGTTATAGCAGGAGCTGAAGACGTGAATTATAGCAAGTACCTCAATTGTAGCAGTTCCCGCCTTCACCAAGTATGTATTATTTTGTTTGAAATTGTCGTAATGTGTAATCTAAATGCAGTCGAGTTGCTGACGGACTCGAACAGGTCAACGAGAAGATTACGTGTGCACTGTACTGTACTGGAGGCAGCTGGCTCACACTTGATGCATTGAAATTGAATGAAGGAACGTAACGAAGCCTCGCGCTTGTCAGCGCTGAACTGTCGGGGTGCTAGGCTACTGGACAGTGGGAGTCTGTTGAGCTGAATTGGCACTTATGGACGAGATCTAGACTACTTAGTTTAAGAATTGAAGAAATCATGTTTTTACATAGAATTAAAGAATATTGTCTTTAAAGAGGCACCTAAGACAATTAAAAATAAAACTGTGATTCCCTTGATAATAAACTTGTAGATCTAGATCTAGTTTAATAAAGCAAAGGAATTATCAATTTGTCCCCAATATAATCTATAGAGTAAAGGAGCCCGTTTTCAGCCACTTAAGACAAAATCCTATTTTTAGGACCCTTTACTTCCTATTTATTATCATTTTTTGTTCAAATCATGAAGCAAATATTATTATTATTTAAACAAAACAAGAATCCCAGAAAAAAATCACGAATTGCCATGACAATATTCATTTCAATTTTCACTGTTTCGGAGTCAGTTTTCGGCGTAGCGTACCAGTTTTCGGCCGCATGTACAAAGTCAATAGGAAGCGGGCGCACGCGCCGTGCGTTTCCGCGCTGATCTATAGCACTAGCGGGCGGAGCAGATATCCCACGCCGAAAACTAGTACTGTGGTGATCGGATATTGGAATCTGAATTAGACAGAGATATCGTGTGTGCGTTGCGGTGTGCGGCTGCATTGATTTAATACATGCGATGAGATACTTTTGAGCTTGCGACTAGCACAAAATCGGGCTCTAAATCTGAAAAATACTTGAAATAAAGCTCATTTTATGGTACCCATATTTCTTACAGACACGCGTAAGATACTCGATTTTTCAGATTCGGGTAGCGGGACCGCCGATTACATCGCTAAAATGTGATATTTTAGGATATATTTTCCATTGCAAATGTGGTTCTTCAGTGACACTGGCATGGTATGGTATGTGTGGGATATGTGTTATGCTATTATGGGATGTATTTTAGAGTGATTTTACCTTGCATCCAACCAATCGGCCGAAAACTGGAGCTGGCCGATTACTGGCTCCTTTACTCTAGTTCTAATTATAAAATCATGATTTTTAAAAATAGACCTAGGTAATTCCTTTTTATTTTATTGAACAGAATCACATTTCTTGGTGCCCAGTGTAAAAGTGAATTGGCGCCAAATTTGTTAAAAGTAGAAGGATGCCATTGCCATGTCGTATTTATTATTAGTTGTCAGACTCAGAGTGCCATGATCTACAGCTAATTGCTATGTTGCGTGAGTGCCAGATTTGTAAAGTAATTAATTATGTCCTTTTGATTTGCAGAATATGAAAAATTCACTCCCATGCATCAATCAAATACCCCATAGTAAACATTTAATTTCAAATTGAGGGGTGGGGCAACTGTTCCCTTCCATTACATGATCAAAGCCCTTGGCCCCAAATGCTTGTAAAAAATAACCGTTTTACCCATTCACCAGTAAAGGACATAAATAATTCCTTCATTTTGTGAATGCAATGATAATACTAATGCTCTGACATTTAATCCAAAAGTAGACATGCACATGTACATGTAGTGTCTCTAATTTTTCAATTTGTATTTGCTATCGACAGGATTATACATCAGCATAGAAAGAATCTGAAGCGATCGGACCAGGTACATGTGAAGAGCAGTCAAAATGACATCTGATTCAGCTATTGCAAAGAGGCTGGTGGATAACTTGCAGACTGATCTGAGAGCACTCTTCAATGAAACTAAGAGGAAATATCCACCTGTCAAAGAGGTACATTAAAGTCAATATCAGAATTTGCACTCTGTGTACTTTCTATTTTATTTTGTATGTTGATACAGGGCTCAAAATCAGCTGTTGTCCAGACGCTATTCAGCATCTAAAATCCTGCCAGGCAACCTTAAAATCCTGTCTCTGTTGCCTGAGAGGCAACTATAAAATTCACTAGTTTTTTTCTTGCTCAATGTCAATTTTGAGCAGTTCGTAATACATGTTAATGATTACCAAAAGTTATGTTGCCCAGCTGACAACCTGAATAATAAAGTGAGCAAGAGCTTTGTTAAACATCATACATCTTTGTCTGCAAATGCAATGATTTGCAAATGTATAATAGGGATGTATAGATCTAGTTGGTAATAATAATTTTGTAGAATAAAATAATTTTAGAGTTTCATGATTAGATGTTAAACTTGGGAAAAAGTAAATGGCTTCTTGCTATAAGTCTAGAGTTAGACATTGACTTAGCAAAGAGTGTTTGGATATGTGTAATTCTTTGATTTGAAAAAACAAATTTATGTCAATAAAAGGAACACAAAGTCATCTTGATAATTGATGAACATTGCAATTAATTACATGATGATATATGCAAACGTACATACACTGTACTATGTGTGGAATATAACAAAGATGGAGATTGATAGCATCTTTAATTGTCTGTATCTATGTTCAAGTATATTTTTGATATTGTGTATTTACTCACTTGTTTTCTAACCCAGTTATTATATGCAGACAATTCTGTACACTGTATTATTTTTTTACACTGTTTTTCTTTTCTTATTTTCTTACTTCAAACTTTAAATTAGGCTGCAGAGGCAGACATCTTGAAGATCAGGACAATAGTTGCCAGAAGTAAAGATGTCATTCCTGGTAAGTTTTACAAAAATTACTCTACTGATTTATATTTTCTACAGTTCCATCATGAGCCAACTCATTGTTGCTCCTTCCTCTAACCTCTCCTTGCTCCTTTAAACTAAAGTAAAGAAAACATTTGTTGAAAAGTTCATTATAAACTTGTGAATTGAAGCAGTTTTTAGATATTTCCTTTTTTTCCTTTCTTCCTTTTTTTAAATTGTTGATGAAAAAATTCAACAAATTTGATGACAGTGAATCATGCAGCCAAACATGTGTTAGTTTGCAAAGAGTTTGAAGGGCGTTGTTACATTGTTATTAATTTCTGGACCCTTTTTAATAAAACTTGTTATCAATATAAAGATACAATAATTGTTATAAGCTACTGAAATCCTTACATTTGATTGGCTATTGGCATATTTGTCAAAGTTCTGTGGCACTTGTTATTGATAACAAGTTTTACGAAACAGGACTCTGGTTCTGTATTGGTAGTAGAGCAGTGGTCTCGTAATCCGGTGACCCGGGTTCGAAACCAAGTCGATGAGCTAGTGCCCTTTAGTAAGGCATTAATCCTCATTACCAGGTCCCTCGGAGACGACCTAGAGCCGTCGGCCATCTGGTTGCTTACTTACAAGCATTTATGCTTTCTTAGCAGTCAGGTTAAATAACTACCATCACCATCACCATCAATTTCTTTTTGATAATAATGATTTGACAAGGACATTTAGTTTTCCATAGGACAGGTTTCTGCCATGATATTATGCTCAAGGTGCTCTTCATTTTTCAGAATGATCCTGAAAAGTTTTCTGAAACTAAAGCATAAATATAATTCATATTTTATCTTAAACTACATGTATATGACCAATCTTATATTAGGGGATGTTTCTTTTATTATGATTTAAGGGAAATGTTAAGAAAGAGGAGGGTTTTGAGAGCAACTTTGGAGTTACTGAGGGATAACACAAACAGAGAAATATTTGAAATACCCCGCTTTCCCACATTTGGCACATTCTTGTCAAAATACTATGGTTTTTTTTTAGTACAGGTATATTGTGAACAATGGTAAAGTGTGCCCCACCCCCCCTCCCCCCCAAAAAAAAATCATCCAAACAATGGGATATGTCATCTGTTATTATCTACACATGTATGTATGTGCCATATTTATTTACCATAAAGAGGAAGTAATACATGTACATGTACGTCTTCAAATGATATATTCATATGATGATTTTTCGCAAGTTTACCAAAATCTAGCATAACTGGATTTTGCATGTATTATTTTCAAAGCAATGGGGCTTGGTATGCCATCAATGTATCGTTTGAAAGCATATTTACATATACCACAGTACCTCTATAATCTGATATATCTGAACAAGCCTTTACTCTGAATGTTTCATTTATTTTATCATAGGCTTTAAAAGTGGTGTAAAGAAGTTGCTTATGATTTGGTTAAATGAAGCATAAACATTATTTCTACGACGTTTGGGGGCTTATTCCTGATGAATTTATAGTTTTATTGATTTGAAAAAAATATGGGTTGTGGTCAGTTGATAAAACTCTTGATGCTTAAATTTAATCCATGCACACAATATATACACAAACAGAAACCATGGTAGAACAAGATAAATAAACAAAAATAGTTATCATTATCATTATTTTTGCTGTTGCTGTATGATTATAATTATCATTGTTGCTGTTGTTATTGTTTTGTATTAAATATTATTGTTATTATTATATTTAATATTGATATTATCATTTATGAATTTTATTATTGTCATTGTTATTGTTGTTATTTTTAGTAGTAGTAGTAGTAGTACATTCTGTAGTAGAAGTAGTAGTAAAAGTAGTAGTAGTAGTAGTAGTAGTAGTAGTAGTAACATTCATGTACAGTGTAATGCTTTTAGTATTTCTTATTCATATTTGTATTTCAGCTTCATGTTTATTTTTCTGTTTTACTTTAAAGAGTTCAGAGCAGAGAAGATAATATTGATTTTATACAAAGCAATGATAGAAACCAATGTATCTTGATGAACAGATAAATCAAAAGGGTGCTTTGCAGAACGAGAAAGCAATTTAGGTAAAGATAATGTAAAAGCAGAAACTTTGGGCAAGCATAAACAACAAATTTGATGAGTTGGAGCTGCAGTATTGGAACTCCCCTACCTGTGATCTCCATCATATTACATGGATGGTGGTCGTTGATGTGCCGATTGCGGACATGACATGAATAATGCGAGAAGTAATTCAATCCCCTCCGTTGTACTCTGAGGTACCCTGTCTTCTGTGAGCATGAAACTCTATCCTGCGACCAATGGGGTTATGGACTCAATAGACTGGGCTAAGATTATGAACGAATGTTTTTATGCTCGTGACTTTCTTGCTGTCATACATGTTGTATGAACATGAATAAGTGTGCTTATTTCAGGTGGGGGTCTGTTTAAGTGCTTCCTCAATGGCTGCAATCTTTAAGCACCACACCTGGTGTCGGTCTGGATCAGGGAAAAAATTAATATTAATTTTTCGGGGGCTACTTTTCAAGCTTGCCTGCATAAAAATAACACTCTAAAATTTGTATTGCATTGAACTCTATGCAAATTTACGGGGGCTCTTTTCTGATTTTCGGGGGCTCTTTTGGGCATTTCGGGGGCAAATTCGCCCTAAGCCCCCGTGTATTTTTTTTACTGGTCTGGATCTTATACATGTAATATCATGTTAACAAAGCAAAACATATCATTTATGTACTTGCCCAAAAGCAAATTTGGCAGGACAAAGTACTTTGGTACTTTGACCCAAGGTACCAGTGACATACATGAACTTAAAATGTCTTTTTCCCATATTGAAATTGAGGATTCTGAGGAACTACATGTACATGAAATGCATTTCATTCAGCTCTGGGTATCATATTTGATTTTACTGAAATGTGTACTTGTATATCTGTATATCATTTGATTTAATTGAAAATAGTAAAATGTATACCAAGCAAATGTAGATGCATACCGTATCATTTGATTTTACTGAAAATAGTAAAATGTACATGTACAAGAGATGAACATATCATTTAAGTTTGCTTAAATTTACATGTATGATATTGTAAACTATGACACAATGACACTGTTGATCTTTTATCCAGTTGTTGACATTGAAGGTTTGCTTTATAATAATCCAAACATATAACAGTTTTGGGTGCTTGTACATTGATCCTAGTGTGAATTAATTGTCAAGTGCAATTCAAAACAATGTCAAATATAATTGAATATGACACTTAAAAGCTATATATTTAAGAGCAGGTTTCTGTTATCAATCAAGAATATTATTTATTTATTTATACCTCAACTACAATAGCTCTGGTCATGAACAGTGGGGAAATCTTGCAGCCGTTCTTACTGGGATGTGACACCAAGAATCTGAGGATTGTTCAGCTCTGTCTCGGCTCAGTGCAACGTCTTATCACACACGAGGCCTTATCAGCTGTGAGTATTGATCTTTTATGAGATTGTTACTATTATTGAAAATGTTCTGTGGGAATGGAATGTTTACATTGTGGCTTGTGTCAACTAATGTTGATTTCATTATATTATTAATTGTTTGTGTTGTATCAGGCTTTGTTGTTTGTTGTTTTTGGCTTGGAATATGGCACCTCAATTGAATATAAGCTGCTGGTACAGTCTAGCTTATTGAAGATGTCAACCAGACTTTGGCAAACCATGTTAAACTCCTTCTCATGGTGATCAAATTATGTAAGTTGATTGAAATTAAAAATTAAATCATTTCCCGTCTTGTCATTAGCATAAGGTGTGAAAATTTGTGTACTGCAAGGTTCTGGAATCATCAAAATGATAAGAAATTTGGCCCAGTCTTGATGAAGTTACAAGCACTGTACACAGAAAGATGTACATGTATATGGGACTACGCGACCTATTAGGTCCAAATAGATATAATAATTTCCCAAATATATCAATTAGTAGGCGGTTTCCTGCAAAATTTTGTATCATCACGTATAAGTCAAAACATATTCTTTCACATGATTGGAAATAAGAGCTTCCATTTCATTTGTTTGAGAGGGGGGGGGGCATTTCCAAAACTGGTCTTTACCTTTAAAGTGCAATTTTGCAATTTCAAGTTACTGAAGTTACAGGATTTACATGTATCATCTCCATGTAGATCTTGTACAGTACTTGGCAAATTGAAATATACCTTCGGGATATGTGCAAATGGCAGACACATACCCTTACTAATGTACAGTACATTGAAATTCTTGATCTCAACACTGCAATCATGGGGGTGGGGGTGGGGGGGGGGGGGAGAGAGAGAGTGTGTGAGCTATTATTGCCCCCTGTGGCCATATCCTTCATTAGTAAAGGACTGTAACATGATTGTAATGGTAATACTACCAGCAAACCTCTGATTGCGACTGGGTAATCAGATTTGAGGCTAGTCCTTTGGTGTTAGAAGTCTTTAAATAGCATATGCTTAAATTGCAATACACTTCTGCTCTAGCTGTAGGCGTTTTTAGAATGAAAGATTTTCTGATTTTAGATTTCTTGTTCGTTTGGAGCCAGAAAGGTATGAGCATGTGTGTGTGTGAAAGTATGTAAGTTAATGCACATAACCTGGGAAATACTGAGGAAAATAGAAGGAAAAAACTATTGTCATTTAGTCTTTCATATTAAAAAAGGCAACAATTTTTTGGAGAGGGTTGTGATTGATATGAAACCCGATGTTGAAGTTGAGACCGATTCGATTCAATCAATCATAATTCCCAGTAGAATTTGTAGTCTAGATAAATAATTTAGCATGATTCTGCGTTGATTTCCATCTTTTTCCATCATAAGATCATATTCCTGCTTATAATGTGGAATTGTTTACACTTTCAGAGTTTAAATTGCACCCATTTCATGATGACTTATTCATTATGACATTTTTCTCAAACTCAACATGTTCAATGTTTATTTTCAATTTTATTCTCAATCCTAATGATATATTTGTTATTATGTGCACCATCTCCCCTTGACAGCAAGCTGCGGGCAATGTGATCAGCATGCTATGGGGTTTGATGGAGTGCGGGATGGAGGACCTGAAGGTACTGCAGACAACCTTGGTTATCCTCACCACCAACACCATCGTCAGAGGTCCATCTCTGGCAAAGGTAAGAAGATATCCCACATCACACAGATTTACGAGTCATGTCCACTTAAGTAGTTATCTTTATTATTCTGTGACTCTTTGCCTTTAATTGTACATGCTGCGGTGGTCAGTTAAAGGCTCTGTTTCATAAAACCTGTTATCAATAACAAATGCTCGATTTCTGTGATGAATTTGCTCTCAGCCAATCAAATGCCATTATTTCAGTAGCTTATAACAGTAATTGTTACTTGTTTACTTGATAACAAGTCTCATGAAACGGGGCCCAGAACAGCACTAAGTTTCCTCCTGAAATATGCATCGGCTAGCAAATCAGGATGGTAAATTTTCAGAACGCCCTACAGTCTATGTGACTTCATTTGAAAGGCATTTTTTTTACAGAGATCTTGAATACCCTGTACTCCAGTCTGTCCTTTCAAGTAGTGGGTAATAGAAACTGACTGCTCTATATGTATTCTTTTACCATGTTGTTTATGATACCTTGCATCCCAAGGTAATGATTATGTAGAGATTAGGAAGCACGCACTGAACCAACTTTGCAATCAGACCTCATTATATCCTCGGGCAGGCGCGAGAAGGTGATCATCATCATCGTCTTAGAGCCCTTCCTGGCGACGCAAACAACGATAGTTGAGCTCATTTTTATTAAATATGAATGAGGATCTGCTATCAGTATCAATTTCAGTCCAGAATATTTGCCCGATAGGCGTGGGATGTTTATTACGGTGTTCTTACTGGTATTGCCAATTTCACTTGTCGTGTAAGGCGATTCACATATACTGAGTGTATAAAATGTAAACAATATGAAAATGCTAATTATATGTTACCCTCGTCCGGTATGACAGACAGAATATTAAGTCATACAGTGAGTGCTTGGTAAAATTGAATATATTCATGAATATTACATATTGTATAAGGTATATGGATATAATATATATCATATAATATATAGTATATTATATGATATATTTATCATCTGCTTAGAGCATTAAAGGGTATTAACTCCTACTTTTACAATCACATACACTGTAGATATAATGCCCTTCTAGCTCTCAGCAGGCTTTATCTTTCTTTTTTGGTTGGAGTGATATCAATTTTGATTCAGACTTTCATTTTATATGGAGTCTGCACAAGTATAACTTACATAGATATCTTTTAATGACAATCTTTCAAAACTAGAGGGATACCATACAATTATCACACACAAAAGCAGTAATTTTTTGTACAGTTAGCTCCAGACTTAACTTTTTGGGAAGGGGGTCCAGATTCAAGTTTGTACAGTCTTTATGTACGAGCTCTGTGTTAATAAACATCAAAATTTGGGGGTCCAGACCTAGATTTGGGGTGCCCATTTGTCCTGGGCACGTGTTAGTGTTGAGCCCTGCATTTAGTTCATTTGCTTAGTGTCTTGAGAATATTCTAGCGGTGTTCAAAACCTAGTGCACCAATTTGCATTCATAGGAAAATCTAAAAATAATTTTATGCGTACCGGTATTGATTTTCCACCCACTAAAATAACATGAAATTTACAAAATTTATTTTATTAGTTAATTTGTTCCCCTAGGTTATTAACAAAATCAATCAAGTTCATTCAACTGGAAATGAAATTCGTTACAGATCAATGCATATTATTTATATTATGATTGGCTAGATGAATTATACATGTAAGTCATGTAAAAAAAATCCTTAAGAGAATACAAAATACAAATTTAGAAATGATCAGGTATGCTATAATACTAACAGGTGTGTATAGATTAATGTAGTTTTAATGTATTAATGATAACAAACACTGACCTTTGAACCCCAAGGCCATCATAAATGCATTTATGTTGGATAATATGTGGTATGATTGTGTCATCTATTGCCACATACTATACATGTACATAGCTATGCACCCTGTACATGTACATGTAGTTTCCTGCAGAAAAAGCTATTGGAATGGAAAAGGCTTGACTCTGAATGTTCTACAACTTTATTGAGGGGAGAGAGAGCACACTATTATTCCACTACCATCTCCGATCATGCAATCAGAGGACAAAACAGGTTGCCTAATTGGTTTTGCCTGCTTACTATTGCTATACCGGTAATGACTGTCAAACTGGGAATCATTCCATTTCCAGCTTTGCTATTAAAATACGCCGGCCTATAACTACATGTACATGTTGAGGCCACATCCCATTGCATGTTTGTGTTTCTGCACTATAATTATAACAGAAATTATTGTTATTTTCAGCTGAATTGATTTGAACTGAGCTACATGTAGATGTCATTTATTATTTCCAAGAAAAGACATTCATGCATAGAAAACAATATGTTTTCTGTACGACTTGATGATTGTATTTTGTTTTTATTTTATTATGCCTCTGTTACGAGGTAGCCGGAGGCATTATGTTTTCGGGTTGCCCGTCCGTCCGTCCGTCCGTCCGTCCGTACGTACATCTGTACGTCCGTACGTCCCGTTCTTGTGATCGCGTTATCTGAAGAACCGATTGATGGATTCCTGCCAATCTTTGGTCATGTTTGTATCTTGCAGAGCCAATGAACTGATTAGATTTTGGGGTCACGAGGTCAAAGGTCAAAGGTCACAGGGCTTATTATGTATGTAAAGCTCGTGATCCCGTTATCTGAAGAACCAATTGATGGATTCCTGTCAAACTTTGGTCATGTATGTATCTTGCAGAGCCAATGAACTGATAAGATTTGGGGGTCACAAGGTCAAAGGTCAAAGGTCAAAGGGTTATATATGTATATGAGAAATTGCTTGTAATCACGATATTCTGAGAACCTGTTCATGGATTACAATTGAACTTGAATTTGAAAAATTTCTTCTGTTTTGGTTTGTAAAATTGCTCTATGACGGAGACAACATTTTCGACTGCGCGCAGTCGAAGTTCCATCTAGTTTACATCTAAAAAAAGAGTGAAATTATTTCTGTCTGGATTCATCTCTCTTATTACTGTACAAGAAAACATTATTATAATTTAATGAAAATATATAGTGTGATATTCAAATACAGAATCATTACTCTTTTAATGTAAAAATGACCGATTGAAAGAGGAAAAATAAATAAATTGAATTGAATTGAATTGAATTGAATGCAAACAGTTGGCAGGTACTCAACACACTATGTACATTCAGTTTTATATCTGATTGAAAAAGAAGAATTTTATTTATCAATATAGCATTTAGTAGATTTTGCTGTTTGATTGATCAAATGTAGGCCTTGTGAGACCCTACATGTACATGATGTTCTCATATGTAGCTTTTTACTTTCTTTACATGCAGAAATTGTTTCAAATAAATATTCATCAGATATATGGATGATGGCCTAGGAAATTATGCCGAGATTTAAAGAGAACCCAGGGCTCTATATAGATTTAACCGTAAATTAATTATTTGTGCACTACGCTTGTAATTGCTGAGCCATTAGCACTAGCAGATCTCAATTCTTTGTTGAAGACGTCCCTTGACATATCGATCTAGATTAATAATAAATAGTCATCAGATTTATGGATGATGGCCTAGGAAAGTATGCTCATGATAAAGAGAACCCAGGGGTCCGTACTACAGATTTAACTGTAAATTAATTATTTTCGCACTTGGCTTGTAATTGCAAAGCCATTAGCAGTTATTATTTCTTTGCTGAAGACGTCCCTCGACATATTGATCTAGATTAATAATAAATATTCATCAGATTTATGGATGATGGCCTAGGAAAGTATGCCCATGATAAAGAGAACCCATCTATTGATCTAGATGTATGAAACATTTATGAAATATTTATGAATGAAAAAGCAAGTTTGAGCTTGAGATGTATGCGCTCTTGCTACATGCATAATACATGTATTTAATCACGAACCCTGGTACATGCATGTCCCATGTTCACTGGCCTGCTGATCAGAATTAATTAAGAGTGTTACTTGTGAATGTTATACCCAGCATATGGTGCACATCTGTACTTGTACAACATGTACATACAACATAGTCTTATTTAATACCAAAACAGTTTTTCTTAAGATTAAGAGTATTGAAATGTCAAGATATACTGTATACACATCAGGATACATCTGATCAGAAATTTCTATAACATAAATGAGACACATTGCTTCACGAGTTGCGGATGTTTACTTTCAGTCTTTTACTAATGAAATTAAAATATAATAGTATTTTCTACTTGTTCCTACGTAGATGTATACATTTTGGCCTGTATTTTGTACATAATTAAAGCAAATATACACAAACAAAAAATACGGTTTATTGCTCACAAGTTCTATGTTCCTTTTTACACACAAAAAAAAATTGTGTTTCTCAAGTACACATTGTGTTTTTTTGTTTAAATTTGTTTGCATTTCCTTTAATTTCCTCATTTGCACAGCCATGTTGTTACAACTGAATGAGCAATAGCGAGGCCACCAGACCTCACTTACTGTACAGGTTGTACATGGAATTTCCTAATTAGGGTGTAATTAAAAATGCATCATGCCTATGTACAATGGGAGGTGTTTACTGCCATATATACCGGTACCTAGTTATCTAGCATCAGTTCAAAAGAGTACATGTATGTTATGCACAGTTTTAGAACATCAATACATGTAGGTGTGAGACCTAAATTACTTTTTGTTTATAAAGAGGAGAGAAAGGTAATGAATGAAAATCAAGTATGTGATCATGATTAGAATTTGTTATGTTTGAATCATGCTCACCTGTAAGCAACAGTAAGCCCAGGAATAAATATACAGAATGGTGCAGTACATGTTGATTTGCATACCAATACATTTTGTTTTGTGCGAGTTAGGATGTTGCAAAATTCAATTTCAAAAAAAATATTTGGAGAAAATTTTAGACGGGGCTTTTTCTTTGTTGAATGTAATGTAAGCATACTGGAAAGCGCATGACAATTTATATTTACAATGTAGTAGACATGATGATGATGCAAGTATGCAATCTGCTACCTAATTGGTTCATGAGGAAATTCAAGGATATTAAGATTACTTGCTTGTTTAAAGTGTGTTTTTGTGAAAAAGTCTCCTAATGAAATGATCAATTCCTTTCCTATCCTTCCATTCTTCAGGCTGTTGTGGTTTGCTTTCGCCTTCACTTCTCAAAGGACAACACGACAAGTAACACAGCATCTGCCATTGTCCAGCAAGTGATATCTATTGTCTTTGAGAGGGTCCTTGCAGAAGATGAAGCTAATGCAGGTAAGACCATAGGGAACCATACTGGTCAGTTGGTCAAGGGTTACGAGTGGAAAGAATCTGTAGTTTTACTGCAAGGGACGTCTATTGTCTTTGAGAGGGTCCTTGCAGAAGATGAAGCTAATGCAGGTAAGACCATAGGAAACCATACTGGTCAGTTGGCCAAGGGTTAGGAGAGGAAAGAATCTGTAGTTTTACTGCAAGGGATGTCTATTGTCTTTGAGAGGGTTCTTGCAGACGATGAAGCTATGCAGGTGAGATCCTACAGATCATATTGGTGAGTTGGTCGTTGGAGTTGGACAGTTGAGAGTATCTCCAACTTGCAACAAGTGATTTATTCTGTCTTTGAGAGAGTCAATTGAACCTAAAACTTTCATTTCAAAGATTCACAAACCAAAACAGATTGGCAGATAATCAAATTATAAGATAGAGCCTGTCTTTAAATGTTGTGACAAAGATTCAAGTGAAGGAATAATGTGCGTTCTTCAGAAAGGAGAATACAGAAAGTTTTCTTTATTTCAAAATTTACATGATTTTTCTTCTGTTTCAGATGGATCAGAGGTTGCAGTGGATGAAGAACAACTCAAGATTAGTTTAGGCAACCGAGAAGCCCCCAAATCACTAAGACCGTGTGCTAAGGATGCTTACATGCTGTTCCAGGTTTGTACTATACCTCACATAATATATAACAATCTTAATGTACTTATACTTTGCAATTGAACAGCATAAAGTCACATATGTTCACATGTATTTAATGATATTAAATATTTGTGGGAAAAGGAAGTCATTCTTTTTTAAGTTGACAATTATTCAATGGCTTTCTAATTCATCAAGGAACATTTTCTTTGTATCAATATGACAAATACAAAGGCATTATGATTGAAAATGTCCTGTATATAAAAAAAATGTTTGTAATACATGTTTGTATAAACTAGGAGGCACCACATGGATGGAATATTTATCTAGGCACTAGATATTTTTTTTTATCTTACAGTCAAAATATTTGATGGCCTTCTACATTCACCAACCATGAAAGGGAAAAAACATAAATCGGGTATTGTTCAAGATTAACCTAAAAAGGTTTTGTTTTATCTTCTTCCACCAGGATCTGTGTAATCTAGTGAATGGGGACCCACCGTGTTGGTTGCAGGGTATGACCACGATGACCAAGAAGTTTGGATTGGAGCTTCTCGAGTCTGTTCTCAACAGCTTCCCGCAGGTGTTCCTTAGGGTAAGAAATAGTAAAACTCTTAGTATATTAGTATACAAAAGTAAATATGGGCATAAGTGAATATGCACTGCATGCGCAGGTTAAAGATAAAGTTGAGTTCTGATCTTGCGATTGCAATGTGACAGAAACAGTATGGAATCGATCAGAAAAGTAGATTATGTAGCATTGAAGTATTGGTGTGTACTGCAAGGTTCTGGAGTCAACAAAATGATGAGAAATTTGGCCCAGTCTTGGTAAAGTAACAAGCACTGTACACAGAAATATGTATATGGGACTACACAAACATGTGGCATAAAAATCGGGCCTTATTTTTAAGCTGTTACTTGCCATATTTAGAATATGAAGGCATTTGAAGAGCCATGCTTTTCAGGGGACATTTGATGTTCTTCCACACTTGCATAATACCAATGATAATGCTCACAAATTATTTGTCACCTCTCCCAAGAACGCGACCTTCTCATTAAGTCACTTTCGGATAATGAACGTGACTTTTCAAGTTCATTAATTGTGACTTAACAGAGTGCTATGTATAGTCACTAATGCACTCACAAACATAAATCATTAACCATGAATCACTAATGACATCATTAAGTGCACAGTCAAACAGTTAAATGCGCACATCAATGTCCTTGCCCCTGCCATATAAAACTATGTGCTTATCATCGTGTCTTTACTGTTAAAGTGCCAGAGATACGCATACACACATCATAGCCGTGCATCATCATATTTTTGCAGGGTCACTGTGGTAGGAACAAATGCTGAACGGTAATGTGGTGCCATTTGACCAATTAGATTGCCTACATTCTTTGACCTGTTTTAAAATTAATACTTTTCTCCTGCAGCCAACATGCTGATAGATTGTTTTGAATAATGGTCATGCAATTTTATTCTTCAGGAACTTTTTTTTGTTGTGGGGGGGGGGGGTTGAAAGGTTGATTGGATACAGTGTAGGTAAAAGGAACAGCAGTGTCTCACAAGGTTTTTGAAGACTTTAATTTCATCCAAAATTTAACAAATTCTCATTGGATACTGTTGAAAATCACAAGCAGTGAAAACATCAGCAGTGAAAATATCTGGGTATCGATATGGATACTTGGGACTACAGAAATTAATGTCATTAGAATTTGGTCCATTGTTGTAATTTTTTTCTTGTTATATTTGTTAAGAGCAACCTCTCTTATAATAATAATAATAATAATATTGGATTCTTATATAGGTATTTAAATTAATGCGAAAGATCACAAATCCTCTTTCACCCTGACTTAAACTCGACCTTCTAGTATTAACTAGGCCCCTAATACTCTGCCATATTCAATCCAGCCTTGTTTGAAAGCAGAATAATCCTGAATAATTCATCTTTAATATACGGCGCTCTCTACCTGAGATCTTTATGCATGCAATGTAAAGTTGTACCAGCATTATGCATGTGTCAAATGAAATGTCACATCAAATAGTGTGGGGTCATAATTACAGAAACTCTTCATTTGTTATCCAATTAGAGAATTAGATTATCCTACGTACAAGCTGTAAACATGAATGATACACCTGATCACGATCAATCTTTCATGGTATCTCTACATCACCAGGTGCTTATTGGAATTGTTAAATGTCACCATAGGGACATAGCATTATCCGATTTGCACAGCTTTCTATAATGAGTGCCTTGTGTTTGTGCTAATGGATACACTTCCCATTAGGCATTTTGGATAATTGAAAACATACAAGGGGACTAGCCTTTTCACTTAGATGGTATGGCTGTCAACCATTATGCAGCCCTTCATATTGGAGTGAATATTGATATTGCACTTGTTAGTGCCCATTTATATTGTTTGATTTCAGCTCCTTGTTCGTTATTTTTAATGTTACAACTGTATGCTTATTAGTGGCAAACAAAAACCTTCAGTATGTCTTCATTTGAAGCTGTGTATTGATTTTATAGTACCGGGTGCTGATAATTTCTTTAATGATTTTGATAATGATGATAATGATAAGGATTATAATAATGAGTGATGATGATGACGATGATGATTAGGATGGCAATGATGATTAAAATGACGATTATGATTAGAATGACGATGATGATGATTAGGATGAAGATGATGATTAGAATGAAAAGTTGATTAGGATGATGATGATGATGATGATGATTAGGATGAAGATGATGATTAGAATGACAAGATGATTAGGATGATGATGATGATGATGATTAGGATGAAGATGATGATTAGAATGACAAGATGATTAGGATGATGATGATGATGATTAGGATGACGATGATGATTAGAATGACGATGATTAATAATGAGTGATGATAATGATTGATAATGAGTAATGATTATGACGAAGACGATGATGCCCAACACAAACTCACTGAGCATTTTAATAGAATTGCATTTAAGTTGTCTTATTTCTTCCTATCCCCTCCCCCTTTCCAAATCAACAGCACACCGAGTTTAGCTTCCTCCTGAAGGAGCGAGTATGCCCCCTCCTCATCAAGCTCTTCTCCCCCAGCTTGAAGCACCGTCAGGGGATGTCGGCCCCCTCAGCTCCAGTCAACCCACCAGAGAAACCCACCTTTCACATGAGTCTCAGGCTACTCCGAGTGGTGTCCGTCGTCATTAATAAGTACTACTCTCTTCTCGTAAGTTCATGGTTTAGTACTGTTGATACTGTTGATTATTATTGATTTGATATGTTTGAAAAAAAATGTTTCTGATTTGCTTCATCCCCCCCCCCCTGAAATTTGGTAAGTTGAATGTACATGTTTTTGCTCTTCCCTTGGAGCATAAAAATAGTTTCATTTGTGTATTTCTCTTCTTTTTTTTTTGGTTGCTGAGTTTTGGGAAACAGAAGGTCTAATATGAACTGATATTTCATTATAGAGCAGAATTCATGAACTTGAATCAAATAGAAAATGTAAGAACTTCATAAAATATGAACACTGCACTTGTCAGAATATCCCTTGATGTAAAGATGGCCATTTAGTCTCTGATTAGTTATTTAAGGTATGGACATTATTAGTTAAGGTCATGAATTTGGCATTAATGTCTTTCAATGTGCATCTACTGCTAAGCATTTAAAGACTTCAAGAATAGTTTCATGTACAGACAAATTCATTTCAATGGTTGCACATAATAGACTAAAGCAAAAGCCAATCTTGCCCTCCTTCTTATATACAGCGTGAAAGTTATTACTACATAGTTCATTCCTTGAACTTGCCATTTATTTCAAGGCCATTTTGTGTCAAACTTGTTTGTGCAAATCGCCCAAGGCATATGGATTTCATACCTCCTAGTCTTCAGAGATTTCTTATGTCTTTCCATATTGGAATTAAATGGAAAAGGAATACGTTAACAACGTTCAAAATATCTTGACATTTCCTTGCAGTGTCATTCCCCCAAGAAAGGATTTGGGTAGTTCATCACCAAATAACTTCATTTCAAAGAGATTATGTCAGTGAAAAATTCCACACTCCATAGCCTTCAGAGATTTCTTAGGTCTTCCCATATTGAAATTAAATGATCAAATCCTGATGCCCATCCAAATGGAAAAGGAATACGTTAACAACGTTCAAAATATCTTGACATTTCCTAGCAGTGTCATTCCCCCAAGAAGGAATTTGGGTAGTTCATCACCAAATAACTTCATTTCAAAGAGATTATGTCAGTGAAAAATTCTACACTCCCTAGCCTTCAGAGATTTCTTAGGTCTTCCCACATTGGAATTAAATGATCAAATCCTGATGCCTTTCCAAATGGAATTCATTACCAAACAACTTCACTTCAAAGAGATTATGTCAGTAAAAAAAAAAATATTGTGCATTGGGATTCGTAATAAAGGAATAGTAAACTGGGTATGATGCTAAAGTCCTAAATAGTTATTTTATTGTACTGTGATAATAGAGAAGAAAATTATTGTTTGAGATAAGAAAGCCATTGCATATCTTTTCTGTTTGTTTACTTTGTCTTGGTTTTTATTTCATCATGGTTCATGTAACTTGGGAAAATAATGAAAGCTTATCTAAACATAATAATAATAAAAATTATAGGCATTTCTATAGCGCCGTCTTTCAAGAAATTCTATTCCGAGGCGCATTAACTATTACCCTGGCTTTAGCCTAGCTGCCATTAAAGCACTCCAGCATTTTTAGGAATTAATTCCTGCCAGGTACCCATTTACCTCACCTGGATCGAGTGTGGCAAAGGAAGATTAACGCCTTGCCAAAGTACAATAAAAAATGTGCTATTAACAGAATGATGCATTTATGAAGTAATCTTGTTACTAATGTGATCTCATTACTAATGCATTGAACACTGATCCTTTTCCTATTTTGTTTCTGCAGATGACAGAATGTGAGATTTTTCTGTCGCTATTGGTGAAGTTCATGGAAGGAGATAAACCACTGTGGCAGAGAGTCATGGCACTAGAAGTCTTACACAAGATCTGCTCACAATCAAAACTGTTAAGGTGAGAAGAATAAGTAGTAGATTAAGTCTGTTTCATGTTCAAGAAACAGCTTTTCATTTAATTCTAGGGTTTATCTACATTTCAGCACAAATTGTCTAATATTGCTTGTTTGGCTTTTCCTAACCTGTTATATTACAATACATGTAATATGGTTTCTTACTGTCTCTTGCAGATTAGTTATTTAACTTGCAGATGTGTTATTTAATTTTATAATGCGTTATCTGATTTGCAGGGCAAGTCAATCAATCGTTCACATATTCTTATCCTCTGATTCATGTGCATAAATCTCTTTTCAAATTAAAATCATATTCAAATTGCAAGTTAGGAGTGCATTAGTAATGGAAGTAAAAAAAAAAATGGTAACATTTTATATTCACTTAGTTTAATGCAAAATACTGAAAAGATGTGTCTTGGTTAGTGAATTGAGAGTAAAATATTTAAGAGATATGAGTGGAAATTGCTTAAAAACAGGAGGTGCTACTTGCAAAACTTGAAACCCTCTCTACAACTTTTAGGCCATGACAGAAAGGAAATCAATCTCTACATTGAAATATTGATGTCCTACTACCAGTGCTCTGTAACATTGTGTATCCATACCGTGTCATTATTTTTATTTTCAGGATGTTCTGCCAATCTTACGATATGAAGCCTCATTCCACCAAGATCTTTGCCAACATAGTGAACGCCCTTGGAGTCTTCACGCAGTCACTCTTCATAAACCCTATCACCGAGAGACAAAACAGTAATTCTTGTAAGTCACAAAGCATTTTTTATTATCAACACAGCATCTCACAAAACAGTCATAAATCCGAGTACATGTAGTAAAATTAACATGTGTTTCAATGCTTTTCAGGATCTGAATATTAAAAAAAATCATCTCTTGCAAGTTTTTCTTATTGTTGTTCTAAATTAGTTATATTTACCTGGTTCATGCCCGCTGGAAAGTGATTGATAATTATTGCATTGTGTACTTCAAAACTTTATTAGGTACCTTACATATTCTTAAGACCTGATGATTTTGTGAGAATTAAAATGAATTGCAAGCTAGGGATGCAGTATTTAAAGAGATGGATGAATTTGTCTAAAAATTTGCCAGGATATGTTTATGTGGCTATAGTGATGATTTCTGCAGACCAATACATGTGTGTATTGTTATTATGATATTTCTCTTTTTGAATAGCTGACAAGTCCACAAAGGAGACTGGTAGCACATCTCAGAGCAGTACTGGAAGCTCACCTGCAGCTAGTATACACCCCCAAGCTGCTTTCACATACAAGGGGGTTTGGATACCACTCATTCCTGTAGCAACATTAGGCACATCAAAGGCTTTAATGTAAGTGATCTGTCATATTGTCCAAATGTTCATCTTTTTTTTTTTAAAGGTTGGCTTAAATTATGTGGCATACCATTCCAATAATTTGTCTTGTTATAGCAATAATGAAATGAATCATTCTATCTGTAGTGCACTGCCATTTTCTAAAGAAGGTGACAGAAAGAAAATGTTGACTGTATTTGTAAAGGGTACCCTGCTTTTTTAGCATGCGCATGACTTCATTATCTAACTCGAGTTGAGATTGTGTGCATCTTTCATTCCAAGCAGTTAGGTTGTGTGTGATGGGCGCTTATACAGCCTCAATGAGAGTTCTTATAATTAATGAAAGAAAACATGCATCAATTGTTTTATACTACAAAACTCCTAAATCCTTGTTATTTGGTTTTAAAAGGAGTTCTGGGAAGAGGTGAAAAATAATTTGTGAGCATTATCATTGTTATTATGCAAGTGTGTCAGAACATCAGGTAAAAAATGTTGCCTGAAAAGCATGGCTCTTCAAATGCCTTCATATTCTAAATATGGCATGTAACAGCATAAAAATCAGGACAGATTTTTATGCTACATGGTCGTGTAGTCCCATATACATATTTCTCTATACAGCTTTAAAATAGCAAAAGTGACACCTGTTTATAAGAAAGGACCTAAAGATGAAGCAGGAAATTATAGACCTATTTCAGTATTACCTGTTCTTGGGAAGGTTTTTGAAAAAATTGTAAATAATAGGCTTCTTGACTTTCTTGAAAAAAATCATGTATTATATGAGCACCAGTATGGCTTCCGTAAAAAATACAGTACAAAATTGTCAATGATAAATTTAGTTAACACTTTGAGGAATTCAATGGATGAGGGAAGAATCACACTTGGGATATTTGTAGACTTTAAGAAAGCATTTGATACAATTAATCATGATATTTTATACAGCAAACTTTCACACTATGGAATACGAGGAATAGCATTACAGTGGTTTAAGGACTATTTTTATAGAAGATTTCAATTTGTACAGTACGGAAATGTAACATCTCCCATGCTGCCTTTAACATGTGGTGTACCGCAAGGCTCTGTCCTAGGCCCAACGCTTTTCCTACTTTATATTAATGATATGCCATTTGCTACACGTTACTTTAACTTTCGACTCTTTGCGGATGACTCAAACTTATTCCATACATTTCCTGAAGGGCAAAAAGAAATTGATATGACTGAAGTGAACACAAATCTTCAAATTGTTTCAGACTGGTGTAATGCTAATAAACTGACAATTAATTTACAAAAGACGAGTTATATGCTAATAAGAAACCAGAGACGGCAGATTAATGTTCAAGGGCAACTGGCTATATCAGAAGCTGAAATAATAGAAGTTGATTCTTCGCTCTTTGTTGGGATAAAGATTGATAAACACTTGACTTGGAAATCCCACATACAAATGGTTAATAAATGCATCAGACAAAAAGTAGGAATCCTCTTCCGCTTACGGCATTTTGTGCCTAGAAATATCCTAGTGTTGTTGTATAAAACCTTTATTCAACCTCATATATCATACGGAATTGAAGTGTGGGGGAGCACTTACAAGTCTCACTTAAATTGCATACTGTATACACAGAAGATGGCCATACGGACAATCACATTTAGCCATTTTATGAGTCGTTCAGCACCATTGTTTTACGAGTTGAAAATCTTAGATATTAACAAGTTCTATGAGTTGTCTCTATGTACATTTATGTATGACCTAGTACATAATAATTTACCTCACTGTTTGACGGATTATTGTGATAAAATTGAGCATAGATACAATACAAGGAAAAGAGAAAAGGGCCATCTACGTATACCACTGTATAAAATAACACAAGGCAAATTTTCAGTAACTTGTGTAGGAACCCGATTATGGAATGAACTTCCCGATGAAATCAAAAACAAAGGGTCTAGAAACACTTTTCGTAAACATCTCAACGATTACTTGATGAATAAGTGATTGAATTATGCAAGTACACATGTATATATTGTAAATAATCTCCATATTACATTTTTGTTGTTTTTTTTTGTCAAAAAAATGCAATTTTTTGTATAAATAATCTGTAGATACATGTATCTATGACTTTTAACCTGGTATATCCTCTTCATAATTATATTTGGAGTGTAGAAATTGTGCTACGGTATTACTCAACATGTATACTTCTACTGTCAAGTTTTATTTTTTGATAATGATATATTTATTTTTGCCAAGTGTGTGCTAAGAACAGGGGCCAGACTCGACTAGCACATGTGCTATTATTTGGCTCCTTTTCATCACCTTCTATATTCTATGAGAAAAGACATATGTCTAGCATATCAATACTTTGTTAGGTTTTTCTTTAATATGATCTATAATATTCATTTATGAACATGTACCATTCACGATGTATTCAAATGTTTAATCACTGATGTTATTGATGATGAATAAATAAAATCAAATCAAATCAAATCAAAGCTTGTAACTTTACCAAGACTGGGCCAAATTTCTTTTCATTTTGATGATTCCAGAACCCTTCAGTACACACCAATACTTATATGCTAGATGATCAACCTTTTCTGATCGATTCCACCCCGTTTCTTTCACAATGCAATCGCACGACCGGAACTTAACTTTATCTTTAAGATTGGTTCACATTATCATTGATGGCAAATAAATCCCAAATTTAGTGTAGCACACACACAGAGTTTAAGCGCATTTACCTTTACATTATTTTTCTTTTCTCAGAATGGACATGTTAGAAAAGACAGACGCCCCTCCCATCCCAGACGGCTACGCCATGTCCGTATCCTTTGCGTGTCTCCTGGACGTGACCAAGAGCGTCTCATCGGTCGTCACCTTGGAGCTTGAGTCGGAGGAGAAGAGGGTGGACAGGGAAGAGAGAGAACGAAAGCGGAAGGAGCAAGGATCAGTTCTAGCGGAGGAGGAGGAGCGAGAAGAGGAAGAGGAGGATGACGACAGGCCTAGGAGTGTAGACAGTGTGCTAGCTACAGTCAATACAGGTTGGCAACCCCTTTTAATAAACCTAAGCCCAAGATAACAAGATAACTTGAGCAAGAGTCAATGGAAATTGCCAGTTTTACCTAAATCAAATGCTAATCAACAAATGTTAACATTCCCTTAACTTTTTGTGTAAGATTTTTTCCCCTTGAGACCTGACCTAAGCTATGAAATTATCTGTTTGAAGCTAAGAGGGCAATAAATGGAAGAGAGTAATGTAATAATGTCCATGCATTGATTATCTAGCATTGCATTATGTTTTGTCAGCATAATTCTCTTCTATTGTATTGTATTGATAGAATCAACTTTGTTTGTTTTTTCAACTTTTTGAAAACTTACCCAATTATGATTGGGTTGAAATTGACTTGAGACGCTTTTCATGTGAAATTTATATTGTCTCTGATGTAATAAAATGATGCTATTTCAACAAGATACACCTCTAAAACACTTCTGCTTTCAAGACAAATTGAATGTCAAATAGCGCCTACAGCCATACAATGGTAGCTGCGACCATGAAAATCTCAGAATATGTAGTTGTGATATTTAATTTCCAAATGGGAATAACGGGTCGATATAGTCAAGAAACATTGTTTTATATGTGTGTGTGTGTGTGTATTGGGTTTTTACAGACGTGTATCAATCAGATATGATTATTTACGTCTGGGACCGACCTTTAAACGTCACCATCCGAAAGACGTGACTCAGTTTCGAACCTGCGTCCTCGGCTGAGGACGCAGTCCTCAGCCGAGTTTTATAGTTAAATTAATATTTTGACCTTGAGAGGGAGCTATACTACATAAAGAGTTAATTATTTACAATGTTTTCACTTTAGACTCGATTTCAACCGTGAAAACGATCACTGTATATTGTAGGATTGCATATGCTTCCATTATGTTCATTTGAACCAAATTCATGACCCCATACCTTAACTTTGTATTACCTTTAAGTTTAGCGCAAGCTTTATAAACCCTTGTTGTTTTCCACAGATCTGAAAGATCTTTGGGTTGAGATGGTGAATTCTTCATGGTGTGGTGTATTAGCTGCTCTCTCACTCCTCTTAGATGCATGGTAAGTAGCACGGATGAATCCATCTATAGCTCTCCTTAGTAGACAGTCTGCACCTTTGGAGGCGTTACATTTTGGGTTGTCTGTCTGTACATTCCGTTCTCGTCAACTGATCGAGGGATTCCCGCTAAACTTAGGTCATGTGTATATCTTACAGAGCTGATGAACTGATTAGATTTTTGGGTCGCGAGGTAAAAGGTCACAGGGCTCATTATGTATGCAAAAATAGCTTGTGATCGCATTTTATGATTTGCACTGCATATTTTTATATGAGGCTTGAAATTAAATGCCATGTAAATGAACAGTACAAAAGTGAATCAAACATAGTAAAAGAAATATGGAGGCATTTACCATAGCTGTAGAGGTCTTGTGGGTCTAGTGGTTAGACATCAGACAGTCGATCACAAGGTAAAGGGTTCAAGCTCCTGCCACTTCACTTACGTCGTTTGGCAGGTCACCCATCTGCATTAGCCACACTTGACTTGGGTTTAAAGAAATAGGGTACTTTTATTGGGATTACTGCCCTGAAGTGCACCGTGTGCTTGTAACATTTTCGAGAGCTAAAGCAAGTGCAATAATTTTCAAGGCTCTTGGGAAGGGCATAGTAGAGGTGTTGTGGACGAGTGGATATGTCACCGGACTGTGGATCACAAGGTCCGCGGTTCAAGTCCCACCGCGGCACTAATGTCCTTTGGCAAGACATTGATCTACATTTGCCACTCTCCACCCAGGTGTTAAATGGGTACCCGGTAGGATGCGAAAGCTAATGTGCTTAGATTAGCAATTGTGCGCTTGTAAAAATGACGCCTGGCTGGAATGCTCCCCAGGGAGTGGAGAATGTGCATACATTGTGTGCTGATAAGCCTTGAATCCGATGACCGGGGTAATAGTATATATATCTGTAAGGCGCTTTGATAGGGCCCTCCTGAAAAAGCGCCATATAAGAAATAGTTATTATTATTATTATTATAGGAACTGTCCAAAAGGACATCAACTCATGAAGGCGGAGTTGGCACCCTTTTGGCTCCAAACAGACAATATCATGTTCTAAACGAGAACAGAATGTTATATCATTATTACTATAAAACTCTCCTTTCTTTGGAAGGACGTAAGAACTTTGTGCCATCTTTTCAGAGCCATAAGGACATGAACTCATGAACACAGAGTTAACACCCTTCTTGCCTTTAAACAGACGATATCATGGTGTGATATGTTCTAAACGAGAACAGAGTATTATGTCATCATTACTATAAAACTCTCCTTTCATCACCTGCAGTACCGACGAAGCAGCGACGGAAGCCATCTTGAAGTGTCTTGAACTGTATGCTAGTCTGTGCGGCAAGTTAGGTCTGACTGTCAACAGGGATGCATTTGTGACTGCTCTCTGCAAGTCCTCCTTGCCACCTCACTATGCCCTCGCTGTACTCAACATTGCTCTACCAACTAGCTCGAATACCAGTACCCCTAAAGGTATAAACTTGAATTCTCTTCTATGCTTCAAAGACAAGTGTTTTTTGTGTGAAGATTAAACGTTTTATGGGTTCGGGCTGTGGCTCATGGGTCCATCATATGTTTGAACGAACAAGAACTTGAGAAGTAGAACGTTTGGTTAGCAAAGCATTTAATACTTCTATTTGAGTATTTATTCAACCACTTCACTTCTCTTTCTCTCTAGTCTTTTTATTTCTTCCACATTTTGAAGGTCTTATTCTTGTCATTAGTGTTTACTGTTTGTTATGTTATGTTTCCAACCTCGGGCTCTGTCTCTCGATCATTCAGGTATGAAAAACTAAAACTATTGAACTACTGAAAAGACATTGAATTATTGAAGAAAGCTGTGCCTGCCTGTCTGTCTCTTAATTTCTTGTTCTCTCTCTCTCTCTCTCTCTCTCTCTCTCTCTCTTTCTCTTTCTCTCTCTCTCTCTCTTTCTCTCTCTCTCTCTCTCTTTCTCTCTCGCTTCTCCCTCATTTTGTCTCTGTTTCTCTCCTACCCTTTCTATCTCTCTCTCTTTATCCCCTCTTTCTCTCTCTCTCTCCCTGTTTCTCTCTGTATCTCTCCTTTCCTTTTCTATCTCTCTCTCTTTATCCCCTCTTTCTCTCTCTCTCTCTCTCTCTCTCTCGCTTCTCCCTCATTTTGTCTCTGTTTCTCTCCTATCCTTTCTATCTCTCTCTCTTTATCCCATCTTTCTCTCTCTCCGTTTCTCTCTGTATCTCTCCTTTCCTTTCCTTTTCTATCTCTCTCTCTTTATCCCCTCTTTCTCTCTTTCTCTCTCCCTTTTTCTCTCTCTCTTTCTCTCTTTTCCCTTTTCTACCTCTCTCTTTATCTCCCTCTCTCTCACTCCAACCTACAGATCACAAGAGGAGTTCGAGCAGCGCTAGTCGTGATGGGTTCCTCCAGGCCACAGAGGGAGGCAATGCCGATCCTGCAGATACCAGAAACCAAGTGGTTGCCGTAGGAACCCCTCTTACTTCAGTCGTTGGTGGGCAACAAGGACCTGTCATGGTAATGTCTTCAATAATGGGATGCAATTGGTTCTATTTGACTCTCAGTCTTATAGAGAGAGAAGAGTTAAAGGCATCGTTTAACAATGTTAAATCTGAGATGCATGGCCCTACATGTTTCAGTGTCTGTGATATGTTGTAATATTGAAGCCCCACAAAAGGATTATGAAGTGCCTCAGAAAAGTAAAAATCTTTGAGTGACCAGTTTTTACCATACTCATTTTCCCCAATAGACTGTGGTGTTATAAAACCGTTTGGAAAACGAAAAATGAAATTTTGATTTCCCATCATAAATATCTTGATAATCAGACAGGCGATCGGCTTGTATAAGGCATGGGATTCCTGACTGACCTAAAGGTTTTTAGTTATGATTGCAGCATGAGCTAAATCCAGGATTTTGTTTCAGAATCTGAGTCAATGTTACCGAATCACTTTAATGATGCTCTTTGGAAAGAATGATATAGCCTCATGTGCTTGATAGTGAAATAAGCTTATTGGCACCTCTACATTTTTTTGTAAACCTATTAGAGATTTTGTTTTCCTTCTCTTTTATTGAGAGGTAATACAAGGTAACTTAACGCAAAGTTTTAATTTTGATATCTGCTACATGTATATCTATGTCATGATTAGCTTGAGACATCTTTGACAATAAACGCCATTGTTATATAACCAACAGCCTAGAACATCCATTTAATTCTTGGTTCTATAAATGCTCGGGTTACAAACGCCGTGTGGTCACTTTCCATCTCCAACCAAAATCCTAACTTCAGCCCTACATCAAACAGTGTACCTATCCCTGATATCAAAACCCGAATCCAAATTGCAACCTCAACCGTATATCATAGATTAAATCAAGCCCGGAGCAAATGTCGCCGAAGCAAATGTTACCAGAGCAAGTGTCGGGTCACTGTGCATAACAGAGGGTGCGTTTATCAACTTTTGCTACTCAGAAACGGCGTTTGAATACATACACATTGAAACACAGTATACAAACGTAACCGTTTTGCGTTTATCATCTCTCAGAAACCTGATTCTGGCTTATTCTCACATTCAAAACGCAATTTTTTCAGCGCTTCAATATACACATATCTAAAGACGTATGAAAACGTGCTTGCGCTTATTAACATGCAGATTTGCCTGAAACACGTTTGAAAACGCTGATTATGGGCTAGAAAAGAGTTGACAAATGCACCCAGAGTCACCATGCATCTTTCTTTCTTCCTGTACACAGCTAACTGCTAAGAACATCCAATGCATGAGAGCCATCCTGTCCTTAGCTCACTGCCATGGAGCTATCCTAGGAGCATCATGGCACCTCATCCTATCCACCCTGCAGCATCTGGTATGGATCTTGGGTCTCAAGCCTACACCTGGTGGAGGTCTCAAAGGTGAGAAAAATTTCTTCGATATCTGGCTTAAAAACAACATAAATTACCATCTTCATTCATGACATTCCATGTTTTTGTATGATTTCTTTAGCAAACCTTGTAGAGAAGCTAAATTCAAATACGATTTCTTTCTATTTTTGTGTGAATTAAACCTTGTAGAGTGTGTATGCACATATAGTTTGCGAAAGCTAAATTCATATATGATTTCTTCTTATTATTTTTTGTGTGTAAATTAAAAAATTCCAGTTATTGCAGAAATGTAAGACCAGAAACTTTTGTGACTTGAAACTTTTGTGAATTGTAAACAATGGTGACACTCGTGCAGAAACTTCAGTGTCGCGTCAGTAGTGATGATCATAGCGTGATACTTCACAAATCTTAAACACAAAGTTCAAGAATAGTTCCTGCATGCAAAAGTTTCTAGTTTTTATTATGGATAATTAGAAAATATCTATACCAAGCAGTTGCAAGATTTGTGTTTCCAAAGTATTCTAATTGTTATTTGCAAAAGTATGTCATTTGTTTTGTTTAATAGTCTCAAACAGTACCCCTTCGCAGCTTTCTAAAAAGCAGTTCAATGCTTTTTATATGAAGTGTGTTGAGGTCGGTGAATGTCATATCCTTTACCATGCATGTTTCATGTCCAAAATTGTATGAGGTTATGATTCTTTTAAAAAATGCACTCCATCAAGTAATTGATTTTATCCTTGTATTGTTTTAGCCGATGAATCACAAACTGTTGTGATGAAGAGTAAGTAGAAAGCTGATGACTTTATACCAGCAGTTTTCCCGCCGTGCATATACCATGATGCGTACATGTAGTGTCGCTGGTTAAGCATGCATCTTGCATATATGCATTGATCATTGTCGTTAACAGAATCCCATAATTACCTCTAGTGCGTTCGTGCGTTCAATCAGCTAACAACAATTCTGTGGCGGTGTAGATGGTTGTTTTTTAGGATGGTGGTGGGTCAAAAGGTGAATATGCAAATGTATGGGTGGTAAAAAAAAATATGATTGCCAAGAAGAAAACAAATAAAAAGCACCTTTTTCTGCTATTTATTTAAGTTAGTATTGTCTGTTGGGAGCCAGGGGAGTACAAATAATCAAATAATTCCCCTGGCTCTCAACAGAGAGGTTGAATTATATTACATTGTTATGTTATTTATGTAGTCTATGATATGTCAATGTATTGTTATATTTATACAAATGTGAGCTGTAAAACGATTTTTATGCCTTCATTTTATTTTGTGCATGACAATAAAGAAGTTCAATTCAATTCAATTCAATAAAACAAAAATTGAAATTGTGTGAGAGAGAGAGTCGGAGAGAGAGAGATTTGGGGGGGGGGGGCAAACAGAACAAAGAAAGAGACATTTTTGCAGCTTATGTACCGGTAGTTGGGAAAGAAATGGTGGAAGGTAGTTGGGAAAGAAATGGTGGAAGGCTGTGGAACAGTTAGCTAATAGATAGTTCATAGCAAGGATTGAAAAATTATTGTCGAATGAATGTGATGTATGAATATTATTAGCAGAATGGAAAGCTGAGAAGGGGACGAGAAGGAGACAAAGGGGAAGACATGTTTGATAGAAATTGATAAATAGTAAGATAGATAGCTAGATCGATATTTGGATAGATACATGTAGATAGGTAGCTAGACAGACAGATATGTAAATATATGTATAGATATAGCTAAATAAAGAGATTGCAAGCTAGATAGATAGATATAGCTAAATAAAGAGGTTACTGGCTAGCTAGAGAGATAGACAGATATAGCTAAACAAAGATATTACTAGCCAGTTAGATAGCTAGCTAGATAGATGGATACGCAGGTAGGTAGGTAGATATATAGATAGATTGACGGGTAGATTCATGAATATACAGATAGAGAGAAGATACAAATTACACATTCACATGTAAGTTAAAGCCTCTCTAAAGTGTTTGGAGCTCCTAAAATTTAATGGCCAAATTTCACCTAAATTGTAGAAGGATGTGAAAGAGGATGTCATTTAACACCAACTACTGCAAAAATTTTCAAATCAAATGTGTTTGAAGATGAGATTGATTTTGTATCACTTTATTATCAATCTTCAATAAAGGAACATGGTATAAACATGTCACAGACATATAATACGAGTAGTCCAGGTCATGGCTCATAACTGCCAAAGCAGGGCATACAATACAAAACATATAAGACATAAAGATGTTATAAAACATTTGCAGAGATCTTTAACAGTAGTTGTGTTTATGCCAAATTGTTTCGTTTCAGATTAAAAAAAACACACAATTTATAATTCACTTTACTCGATTAATGTATACAAATGCTTAATCGTTTTGGAAGAATAGAGGGCTCACGTGATGCAACAAAATATGACATGTTCAGTGGCATGCATTCAGCCCACGGTTGCACCACGATAGCCCTCTTTATTACTTATAAGCACTATTACTTTTTTTATTATTATAATTATTATTACCTTTATTATTATCATTGTTATTATAATTATTATCATTATTATCATTATCATCATTATCATTATCGTTAATATGCGTCTTATGCCTGTGAGAGGTGAATGATACTACATTCCAGTCTAGACTTGTTCATTATGTTGCGTATGTAGTGCGTCGAAATATCAGTTCAATGATTGGTAGGCTCTTCAATCAGGCAAAAATTTGAGCTTGTTTAGTAAATTAATCATATAACAATTGTCTATCGAATACCTGAAGGGGGCGCTATACCACTTTTAATCATTGTCATCGTCATTTAAAACAAATAAATCATAACCATCAATATCTTTATTATCGTATTTATGAATATTATCATTAGATCATCAGCGGCACACTTTCATGATACAAAAATAGCATACGTATCACGTAATTCGTCAAAGTGACGAATTAAAGTCTAGTTATAATTGTTAATCATATCATTATTATCATCTGTATTATCAGCATATTCTACAATGGCAGTAGTATAGTATAGTCATGTAGAAGTAGGCCTAGTAGTAGAGGTATCATTCTGATCCTTATTATCCTGATTATCTTTTGCAATACATCTATATAGACGATAAACTCATGACAATTTACAATTGTCATGAATCATTGTCTTTAAGCTTACCATTAAATGCATCTGGTTCAAATTTTGCTTAGGTATTTGGTACTTGATGATTTAAATGGTAGAAATTAACTTGTGTCCTATTCATTCTAGTCTTATTCTTTTGCATTATGTTTTATTCATTCAAGTTCTAATGTTTCTGACTGTTTTCAAGACAATATTTTTTTTGTCGATCATAGTTCTATGTAGCTTGATATCACACGGTAATTTTGAGAGAAAAGCAATGCAAGCAATGATTTCTGAATTGTAGCGACAATCGCATTCGCCTTTGCTGTTCTTCAATAATATTTGACAAGCAGTATTAATTAATTTTTCAAGGACTCATGGTACATTCGTTTAACAGTTGATTACCCTCGGTTGATTCTTTTGTTCGGATTATTTGGCGGGGAAAATGTATTCTTGAAAATGTATTAGTGAATGTATTATTATTCTTATTTGTTCATCGTCTCTACGATGCTCTTTGAATCAAAAACAGCTTTTAGTGTTAGGCTTCCTGAAAGAAATTTCAATTGTTGTTAAGAATTTTTTGGTTACACTCTGTAGATTATGATGACGTGTTTGATCTTTTTTTTAATACAAGATCAAACACATGATGAAAATCTATTGGCTGCATGCCAATAAGTTCTTGACAACAATAACAAAATGTGAGCTAGTGCTATTCGGTGTGGCGTACACTTGGCAATCACATGGTAGATAAAATTATGATCATCAGTACCGGGTCAAATAAATTAAAGAGAACTTAATTTGAACCCGGGCCATGGGCTACCACCTCTCTTCCTCTCTCTCCCTCTTCGTCGCCTTACTTTTCCCTCTCTTACCTCCCTTTGCATTTGTATGCCTCGATAATACAAAAAAAAAAACAATAAGATTCTTCCTCTTCCCCTCCTTCTTCCTAGTACATGTAGTAGGAGTAGTACTACAAGCAGTATCACAATAATAATGACAACAATGATTATTATGGTTGGTGATGTTACTATTGTTATTTTTATAATTATTATGTTTGTTATTGTGATTATTATCCTTATCATGATTATTATCGTTAATATAAGTTATTATTGTAATTATTATAATCATTATTATTGTTATCATTATGATGAATATGAACATAAGGATTTTGATGACGATTAGTATAAGTATATAGTATTATTATAATTGTTATCATATCATTATCATCTGTATTATCAGCATAATCTACAATGGCAGTACATGAAGAAGTAGGCCTAATAGAAGAGGTATCATTCTGATCATTATTATTCTGATTATCTTTTGCAATACGTCTAGACGATAAACTCATGACAATTGACAATTGCCATCAATCATTGTCTTTAAGCTTACCATTAAATGCATCTGGTTCGAATTTTGCTCAGGTATTTGGTACTGGATGATTTAAATGGTAAAAATTAACTTGTGTCCTATTCATTCTAGTCTTATTCATTTGCATTATGTTTTATTCATTCAAGTTCTAATGTTTCTGACTGTTTTTAAGACAATATCTTTTGGGTCGATCATAGTTCTATGTAGCTTGATATCTCACGGGAATTTTGAGAGAAAAGCAATGCAAACAATGATTTCTGAATTGTAGCGACAATCGCGTTCGCCTTTGCTGTTCTTCAATAATATTTGACAAGCAGTATTAATTAATTTTTCAAGGACTCGTGATAAATTCGTTTAACAGTTGATTACCCTCGGTTGATTCTTTTGTTCGGATTATTTGGCGGGGAAAATGTATTATTGAAAATGTATTAGTGAATGTATCATTATTCTTATTTGTTCATCGTCTCTACGATGCTCTTTGAATCAAAACAACTTTTAGTGTTAGGCTTCCTGAAAGAAATTTCAATTGTTGTTAAGACATTTTTGGCTGCACTCTGTAGATTATGATGATGTGTTCGATCTTTTTTTCAATAAAAGATCAAACACATGATGAAAATCTATTGGCTGCATGCCAATAAGTTCTTGACAACAATAACAAAATGTGAGCTAGTGCTATTCGGTGTGGCGTACACATGGCAATCACATGGTAGATAAAAGTATGATCATCAGTACTGGGTCAAATAAATTAAAGAGAACTGAATTTGAACCTGGGCCATAGGCTACCCCGTCTCGTTCTCTCTCCCTCTCTCTCCCTCTTCGTCGCCTTACTTTTCCCTCTCTGGTGTTACTAATGTTATTTTTGTAATTATCAGGTGGGCTGTATATCGTACAGACTACCTTATAATTTCGTTAGAATTGCCTTTGTTTATTTATTTATTTATTATCAGGTGGGCTGTATATCGTACAGACCCCCTTATAATTTCGTTAGATTTGCCTTTATTATCAGGTGGGCTGTATCTTATACAGACCACCTTATAATTTTGTTAAAATCGCCTTTATTATTCTTTATCGTCAGGTGGGCTGTATATCGTACTCATCGAACTCATGATCATATCTTCATAACCAAAAGCCATTTTTGATGATTAAGGTCAATATTCATCCGGTCAATTTCAGGTCAAAAAATGTGCATGTGCGCGTACGTCCGCGCGTCAATGCACGCGCAAAATATTAAAATGCTCAAAATAGTCTCAAAATAATTTTACATACGTTTTAGGCCATTTTAAGCATTTTATAAAAAATCTCGCACACGCGCATGCGCGCGTGTTTTC